TCCACCCCTCCTACCAGTCTCCTCGTGGCTTCTTTATATCCTTAGTTACACAACATCTGTAGCTAGTCTTCAGGCAGTTCTCATTGTTGATTTGTTCTACAGTTTAGTTGTAATTTTGCAGTTATCATAAGAGGAGATGAACACAGTGTTTACCTAATTCACTATCCTGAATGAAACCACACATATAAACTTAATTTTGTGTCACGGAATTCCTTAGCCATTAGCTAAAATAGAGTGGAAACATGCTGTTATTTAAAATGAAAAAGGATGATGAGAATTGGCCTCTTTTTAATTAAAATTTTCCTAAACTTGCTATCATAAATAATTCACTACTAAGCATGTCTGTGTGAGGGCTAAGAGAATTGGTTTGGATGAGTAGAACAACCGTTGGCACACTAGATTTTCCTGAGTTTCCTAATTCCAGCCAGACAGTAGATTACTCTCCTGGAATTGAATTTTATCACTGAAGTGGTCTAAGAAATCACAAATCTCAACTCATTATAAAAATGAGAAAATTGAGTATCAAGGTGTTAACTAAGTTGCTCAGGGAGGAAGATTTATAGAACATATCTTTACCTTTGATTCGCAGTTGAATATTCTGTTGTTCCACTGGTTTCTAACATCATATCTGAGGATACCTACAGTAAGCAGTTCCTAGGTGTGCCATAGCAGAGTACCACACACTGGGTGGCTTAAGAGAACAGAAATTATCATCTCACAGTTCTGGAAATGAGAAGTCCAGAATCAAGGTGTTGGCAGTGCCATGCCTCCTCTCTAAAGGTGCTAGGGAAGTAGCTGCTCTGTACCTCCTACCTAGCTTCTCATTTCCTCATATATTCATTTCTTAACTTGTAGACGAATCACCCCAATCTTCCATCTTCACCTGTGGTTCTCCCTGTGCATCTTCATATCATCTTCCTCTGTGCATGACTGTCTCTCTGTCCAAATTTCTCCTTTCTATAAAGACTCTAGTCATATTACACCAGGCCTCACCTTAATGCCCTCATTTTAATTTGACTATCCCTATAAAAACCCTGTTTCCAAATAACGTCATATTCCGTGGTACCACGAGTTGGGACTTAAATATATCTGATTTGAGGGGTTGGGGGGTTGACACAGTCCAGTCCCATATTACCATCTGAAAATATAGATTGTTTTTCTGCTGGTTTTCGTACTTCTTTAAAATGTCCTATTCAGACTACTTGTTCTTGATTTTTAAACTTCACATATGCATTGATTTTCTACCATGAAAGATAAAGCTTTAGCTCTCTTCTGCTACCCCTACTCCCTATTCCTTCACCTCCCTGTACACACATACATATTTTCCCACTTGCTATATTTTTATCACAATTTTTAATTAAATATGTATTCTAAATTTACTTAAGATAATGTAAATGGTCACAGCTGGACCTTTTAGGGTATTATAATTCCATTTCCTTTCTTGTACATGTTTGTTGTCTCTGTCTTGTTTATTCATTTGTTCATATAACTAATTGAGCCATATACTGTCTGCCATCACTAGAAAATTTAAATATTTGTACAGATCAGGGCATCTCTCAGTTCCATTTTCTTCTTGTAGACACTGTCCTAAAATCTCCTCTCTTCTTGCTTCAATGTGAACTGATTGCTCTCTAGGACTATTGCTGTTCAGCCCTCAGTTTAAAGTTTCCCTTTACTGTCACCCTAGGAACTCCCTTCATTCTTCTCCTATGTAGGATTCCTTTATGTTGTGGCTTTCATGTTTTACTCTCTCTGAGTAATGTCTCTTTTGGTGCAGCACTTAACTCCAGGAGCTTCCTGAGAAAGCTGGCATGTCTGGAAGTGTCTTTATTCTTCCTTGATGCTCAATAGCTTGCCTGGGTGTAGAATCCTAGATTGGAACTTATTTTCTCTGAATATTTGAAAAACACTGCTCTGTTCTCTCTTTCCTTTGCTGATGAGGATCTCTCTGCCATTCTGATTCTGAATGTTTGTGTGTGATCTAGTTTCATTTCCTGAAATCTTTCTTGAATTTTTCCTTTACAGTGCTGTTTAATAATGTATGCCTTGGTATGGATCTTTTCTCTTTCCTTTTGCTGTTCAGCCCTTTCAGACTTGAAACTCATACCCTTCCATTCTGAGAAACTTTCTTATATTATTTATGTGGTAATTTTCTCACCATTGTTTCTGTTCTCTCTTTTTGGGACTCCAGATGGTAGATAGACCTTCTGGATCGTCTTAATTTCCTTATCTCTTCTCATCCATTTTCTTATTGTTATACTTCTGTTCTACTCTGTGGGAGATTTCTTCAACTTCATCTTACATTATTTTAAAATTTCTATGTAACTTAATCATTTTTTATTTAAAAGTCTGTCCTTATTCTCTGGCATTCCTTTTTTAATATTATCCTTTTCTTTTTCTGAGAATAGTATTTCTAGATTTTCTTCTATTTTCTCTATTTTCTGTTTTATCCAAATTGCTCTTTTTTTGTTTGATTTGAGTTTTCCTTTCATGTTAAATGGTGGTGTTTTGTTTTGTTTTGTTTTACTTCTCTGGTGGTTCTTAGGTGTCCAATCATATTTGAGAGTGAGGCACTAAAAAGCTGGTTAGAAATTTACTGTGGTTTGTGGGGCTTGTCAGATGGGACTTGGCTATTTCGGCAGAGGGCCTCCAAGTATCACTGCCTATGAGGCCTGTCCAGGAGATATCCAGCAGTGTACTATGAAAAACAGAGACATTTATTTTAGAAGATACAAAATACAAGAAACATTGTACATGGGACAATGATGCCTCAGTCCCCTTCAGTATAGGCACCTTGGGACCTCACACAGTTCTCCCAGTCACCATCAGCTGCCCTGTCATATTTCCCTGAATCTCATGAATGGTCTGAAATGTCTTCCCTGTCAAAGGTGATTTTAGTTTTGGGAAAAGCCAGAATTCGCAGGGTGACAAATCTGGGCTGTGGGGGGGCTGAGTGACCTGGTGATTTGATGTTCCCCCCAAAAACTGCACAAGACATAATGCCTGAGTGGGTGCATTGTCGTGACGAATGAAGCTGCCAGTCACCAGTTGCCCAGAGCTGCAGCCTTCTGAATCATCAGAATAGTTTTCTGATGGAGGAATGTTCAAACTTAATGCAAAAGTTGATGCAGATTCGTTGTCCTACTCACTTAGTCATTTTGAATGCAGTGGCCACACAGTACACATGCTCACTGCCTCCACTGACTAGCACAGTGAAGCCGTGATTGTTCATGCATGCGCATTCCGGTTTACTCTCCTTGGCTGCCAGTATACAGCGATGTCGCGCAAGCATTAAGGGCTGGACTTTTTCTGGGCAGACTTCGTGTATGTATATTTTTTCTCTAAGGCTGGCTACTCAGAGAGGTATGCTCCAGCCTTTTTCTCAGAGGAAAAATGTGGAGAACAAAACTGACTTCTGGTGTTCTGGAAATTAACCTGGCAAAAGGGGTCTCATTACAGAATGGATACTGTGACACCTGCCCCCACCCAACCCCAGATCTCTCATAGGACCAAGGACCTGTGGCAGCAAGAATGCTGCTATGACACCCTTCAGCTGTGAGCTATCTACAGGAATAGCCTGGTGGAAGCGAACCACTCCAATAAGTAGTTATATCCCCTTCCCACAATAGCCATCAGGTCAATACCCGATCAACAAGGAGGTGTAAAAGCCCAGCCAATGTCATTGCTCTAGTTCAGGACAGGTCTGAAGGGCAATCCCAGTTTGAGATCTCTGTGGAACTGGCCATGGAGTTCCTTAAAAATAAATCACAGCCCAACTTCTCCCTGTGTGCAATTCTCCCTCCTTCCTTTTTTCCTTCCCTTCCACAGGTGTTGATTCCACAGAACTTGCTAATAAGCCTCCTGTATGCTTATTTCCATCTCAGAGTCTGCTTCCTAAAGATGTTATACTTCCTAGCCTGCTTCCTAGTGACATAATAGTTATGCCTTCACTAATCCTGAGTTTTCAGGGTGGCACCTATCCTCTCCTCTTCACACCCCATCCACTAACCTAACTAGCTGTGCAGGATACACTGAAGGCTGGAGCGTCCCTGCATCCCTGTTAACCTCTCCCATAAATATAAACTACAGCTTTTATTCTGAAATGGAAAGTGATTAATCATATGACTAATTATATAGAATTTTCAACGAAAAGCCTGTGAAATTTCACCCCATACTGTAACATTAAAATGTACCTGGGACCCATAATTCCTGAGCTTTTGCTAACTTCCACAGTTCAAATCAAATTGTTTCTTGTTAACTTTCCACACTGGTGGCTTAGGGTACAGTTTATTTCTATCTGTCAAATCACTTTACATTTATCCATCCAGTTTTCAGTTTCTAATTTGTTAACAACTCATATGTGCTGTCAGATCCTCTGTTTCTCTCCTCATGTGTCTTTGTAGATCTATGCCTTTTTTTTTTTTTTTTTTTGCTTTACTGTGCTTATAGTGGAGTTGGGGAAGAAACAAGATAAACACGTGTGTTCAATCTGCTCTGTGCTTTGCAAGTCGTGCACTATAAAGGAAGTAGTGGAGTTTTGAGCAATATTAGAAGAAACTTGTAATATATTTTAATTTGCTCTATCTCGTGATGTTCCAGCTTTGTTGTAAAAATTGGAAAATGAACCTGTAAATATTATTTTTGTCTGTTTATCAGCACTTATCGTTATGGTCTAAAGGGGATAGAGTCAGCAATTGAAGTTTATACATCATTAAAGTTTATTACATGTTTAATAAACAAATACAAGTTTATTAATTAAATCATTTCATCTTCAGCTATTGAAAGGTTTTTGAGAACCTATAAATACTTTCAAGTATTTTAGTCTGTATCCCTTATTAATACTCTGTGTATAATAATCAGTCCTCAATATATTTTATGTGTTCCCTTAAGGTTCAAAATTATTTGAAAGGAAGTTTATATGAAGTTAGCCATATATATATGCATTTTATATGCATATATATATGCATTTTTTTAAACAGTATTTTTGTTTGTTTGGCTAGAGCTCCAGAATTATTTAGTTATATAGCCAAAAATAGCCAAGAGGATGTGTTCTATGAAGATGACATTTGGCCTGGAGAAAATGAGAATGGGTAAGCAAAAGTTGTGTCACTTATTACTTCATAGTTCAACTTAGTGGTTCCGGTGAAAGGCGCAGTAGTAGTTTATCAAGGATTATTTACATTACTTTTGAGGGAAGGGTTTCGTATTGTTTTGTTTTTTGCTTTAAGATCTTAAGACAATTTTTTATTTCATTTATATTAAAGTACTTTATTAATTTTGTGATTTTTAGAAAATTACTGAGAATGAACATGTTCATGTTAATATTAGATTTAGAATTAGTCCCATTTAAGTGTGGCGATTAATTATTAATCATGTATTTGATGTCTTTTATATATTACAGCCTTCAGAAGGTTTATATCAGGCCTTTTATATATGCCCTCACAGAGTTTTAATAAATGTGAAACAATTATTGTTTTTAATGTAGTGCTGAGAAAGTTCAAGAAATTATTACTTGGCTAAAGGGACATCCTGTCAGTGCTTTGTCACGTTCTTCTTGTGATTTACAAATTCTGGATGCAGCTATTGTTGAGAAAATTGAGGAAGAAATCGAAAGGCACAAGGTACTAATTTTTAATAATGGAGATATTGATGAGATTTGAAGTTAAAAGAACTATATATTTTTCTACAAATAACTTATTTATGTTCCAACCAAATAAAACATATACTCAGTGGTTTCTGATTTATGTAAAATAATCTTATAATTAAAAAAATGTTCCAGCCATTTCCAGTGGCCATTAGTGTGTATGAATAAATATATTAATAAATATAAATGCACTTTAATTTACAAAAGCTGTATCATTTAAATTAAATGTCCTTGTAGTGTTTCTAATTTTAGGAATTAATATTTTGTGATTTTAGTCAAAATAGAAAGTTTTAATTGAGAGGTAAGGTTAATCCCCATTCCTTCTATTCTGAGTTCTTCAAAGACACAGTTCATGTTTTTACAGAACGTAAAAATTGTACTAACTTCTACAGAATTAATTCTTTGTGTACTTTCCCACTCACAAATTCATTCATTTACTAAGTATTTTTGTGTAGGCTTAACTGTTTCAAGTATTTTGATCCCCTACCTTGATGTAATAGAAAATGAATTGATTATATTCCTATTTTTAATTTCTGATTTTATTTTTCACACATTTGCCTTTTTATAAAAACTATGTTGTTGACCTGCGTGGCTCAGTTGTTTGAATGTCGTTCTGCAAAGCAAAAGGTCACCAGTTCAACTGCTGGTCAGGGCATATACCTGGGTTATGGGTTCCCCAGTTAGGGCTTGTGCGAGAGGTGTTTCTCTCACACAGTGATAGTTCTCTCCCTCTCTTTCTTCCTCCCTTCCCCTCTCTCCAAAAATAAATAAGTAAAATCTTTTTAAAAATAAATAAGTAAATAAAAGGGAAACATGAGGGATCCTTCTTTAAAAGAAAAAATGATGTCGTTTTGCTAACACAGTGCTCTAATAGCAGAGTAAATTAAGAACTGGGCTTTGATGCTATCTTCCCCAGCATTCTTTCAATGCTTGTAACCTTAGGCAAGATACTTAGGCTTTCTTGCTTTGTATCCTCATCAGTAAATGAAGTGAGGATAACATACAGCACCCACCTTATAGGGTCATCAAGAGGATTAATTGAGTCGATACATGTAAACCCCTTCTAATAATGCCTAGCTGTTTTGGATATTATTATTATTATTATTATTATTATTATTTGAATTCTCTTATCACATACTCAAGAACTGTGAATATAGTTTGGGAAATCACCACTAGATGATTATCTCTTTAGGTAAAAAATACAAGGCTCAGAGCCAAGAGTTGGATTTTTTAAAAGGTCATTGATACTCAGCTGCGGATAGTAAGCCTTCATTTCTCTTTTTCTTTTCTTTCTTTCTTTTTTGCTTTTTTGCATTTCTTTTTAATTGTCTTTCAATGTAGAGAAAAATCTGTTTGTCATGAATTGTTTTTGAAATGAGTTTTCTACTTAACAAGTTTACATCTTTAAGTCTCCAAATTTTACTTTAACCCATTTGGATGGAGAGAACTTTCTAAAATGTTTTACACATTTTCCATTTATTTTGTAAACAGAAGATACAAAGTTATAGCCTGATGTTGTGGTTACAGCATTTTTCAAAAATATGTGTGCTTATAAATAATAGGAGTTTTTGTAAAAAAAAAATAAAATAAAAACTCCAAAAACCTATGAATGTGTCAAGGAGGTACAATTATAAGTGATTTTTTTTTTTCCTTTTAGGATTATAAAGGAAAGGAGAAAAAGCTAAAACAAGCCCAACATTCTGAACATAATTCATACTTTTTTTTATAATGCAGGATTATTATAAAAAATATTAGTAGTTTTGATATTGGGCAGTGATTCCCAAACTTGGCTAATTGTCAAAATTACTGGAAGAGCTTTTTAAAAAACACACATTCTAGATTCCATGCCTAGAGCAGTACTTCTCAAAATTTTAATGTGCAAACAGTCACTGGAAGATGTTATAAAAATACGGATTCTGATTCAGTAGCTCTAGGATTAGGCTTGAGATTCTCCATTTCTAACAAGCTTGCAGGGTAATCACATTTTGAGTAGCCAGGCCCCAGAACTTCTTGTTTAATAGTTGTGGGTTGAAGTTTACTCTGAAACTTCCTCAGTTTATTGATTTGCTTAATACATCAGGTTTGATTGCCATGCCCTCTAATCAATGCTATAATGCAATAATGCTTATGGATATATTAGGCCATATGGTTTTTTTTAAATATGCAATTCTCCAGGCATAGTTCTTGGGTTTCCTTTTTAAAATAGTTTTCAAATTTCTTTATTCTTTCTCCTTTTTTGCTGTTTTCACTGGGTACCAGTTTACTTGTTAGTCCTTCTGATCTGGAAACATAGGCAACTTGTCAGAAAGGCCTTCACTTTTCACCCTATTTAAAATTGCATTTTCTCCTCACACTGCTGATCTCCCTTACCCACATTGTTTTTCGCTATGCTTTTTATCTTCAAGCACGCTATATTTCCTTTATGTTGTTTCTCTTACATCTCCTTCAACTAGAATAAAAGAACAGATCACTGTTGTATTCCCAGCATCGAAATCAATACATGGTGTATAAATGGAACTCAGCAAATATTTGTTGAAAGAATAAATGAACTGTCTCTAAAATAAAAGAAAATAGGCTCTGTTTAAAGGTTTAAGTGATTTACAGTGTATGAATACATGTAGGGCTATTTTATGTCCTTTTGTACTTATTTCCATAGCTATGTTCTAAAGCTAGGGGACTGCCAGATAGGTATACTGCTGCCATTTTTGTTTTTACTTCAAAAAATTTTAATTTGAGTTGTAGCTATAGATTGCAATGGGTATAAACCATTCTCCCATTTTTATTACATAGAACAGGTAATACTATTTTCATCTCACAGATGGAAGGAAGCTGATGTTCAACTTAAGTGTGAGTTGATAGAACTAACAAGTAGCAAAGATAGTACAAAAGTTTTACAGCCTGCTTGCTTGATTTATTTACTTATTCATTTAATTTTTAGAGAGAGGGGAAGGGAGGGAGGAAGAGAGGGAGAGAGACATCCATCAGTTGCCTCTCACATGCCACCACCAACCACAGACATGGTCCATTAACCCAGGCATGTGCCCTGACTGAGAATTAAACTGGTGACCTTTAGGCTTGTCATTTGAAACCCAACCCACTGAGCCAGTCAGAGCTTATTCCAGCATTTTTTAGGTAATCAAAAATGCAATCCTGACCAGTGTGGGTTCCCTGTTGGAACATGTGCCAGAGGCGGCCGATCTATGTTTCTCTCCCTCTCTTTCTCCCTCCCTTCCTCTCTCTCTAAAGATAAATCAATAAAATCTTTTTTAAAAAAAATTCAAACATCAAAGCCAGCTTCACAACAGATTCCAAAAGCAAAAATTTTATTAAACAAATACCACCTTTTTATAAGGAGCCACAAAACCCACAGTATTGTCATAGATCAATATTTTTTACTTTTTAAAAAAAAAAGTCTTTGTTGACCATTGTGTACAGTTTTTTTTTAGACTAAAAAAGTCATTTGAATAGGATAACATTTACATAAAGTTCAAAACAGACCAGTCTAATCTGTTGCATTAGAAGTGAGGGTATTTTGGGGAAGGGTGGTAAGGGGGAAGGAAGGGAATACAGGGTGTTTTGTTTTGTTTTGTTTTAAATTATATTTTATTGATTATGCTATTACAGTTGTCCTGATTTCTCCCCATTGCCCTCCTCTACCCAGCACCCCGACTCCCTTAGGCAATTCCGCCCACCTTTGTTCATGTCTATGGGTCATGTGTAAAGGTTCTTCAGCTACTCCATTTCCTATGCTGTATTTTACATCCCCAGGGCTATTCTGTAGCTACCAATTTGTACTTCTTAATCCCCTCACCTCTTCACCCATTCCCTTATATCCCCCTCCCATCTGTCAACCATCATATATTGTGCTAAGTAATGTTTTGTCTCTCAAACTAGGTGTGGTTATACATAGATATGCTCATACTATAAAAACTATTCAGGCTGTATATTCATAATTTTGCATTTTTGTATATATCTTATACTGTTAAGTTTTTACTATAATTTGTTATTTGTAAGAATTTGTTATTTCTCCTTACTGCATCTGAAGGACTTCAGATATATTTTAAACTTTTTATTTCCTCAGCAAAGAAAGAATAATAAGAAGGTACGCGTGACAGTTAAGCCCCATTTGCTGTACAGAGTAAGTTTTCTGTTAAAAAATTCTAAGTTCTTTTTACTTTGAAAGTATAGAAGAAATAAAATGTTTTCAGTAAATTATTGGAACACTTTAAAATTAGGGTTAATAATAATTAGAGTTTTCTTCTCTTCAGCCTTTAGAACAGCAACACGGAGTCATTCCTGATCGGGATGCAGAATTTCGTCTCTTTGACCGTGTTGTGAATGTGAGAGAGAACTTTTCAGTGCCAGTTGGCCTTCGGGGAACCATCATAGGAATTAAAGGGGGTAATATCTCAATACTTGTTGTGTCCTTAGCTGCATTTTGTTGTAAAGTAAAACACAAATTTCTGTGTCATTTCTAAGCAGAGAATGACTGTAAAATAGAGGAAACTAAATCCTTTTATGTTTCAGTTAATTTTTTGTTTTGTTTTAGTTTTCAGAGAAAATTCTTTTCTGTCTTGTGTAATTATCTAGGAGTGATTAAAAGAAGGGGAAGTTCAGTAAGGACTGCTGAAAATTTGATATCTTATATATAACATTAAAATTATACAACACCTTGGTGCATATGTTCATATTTTCATGAAACTGAGAGAAATGTTTCGTCATTTCTCCTTAGTTAGGCTTTCATCTAATCTTGCTCAGTTTACCTTAATTGTCACTGTAATTTGTTGATTTCTGTGGAGAAATAGACAAACCTGAAATGTGAGCTCATTTACCGTTAAAAGATTTGAATTATGCTCAGCTGGGTGGCTCAGTGGATTGAGTGCTGGCCTGCGAAGCAAAGATTCGCCAGTTCGATTCCCAGTGTAGGGCACATGCCTGGGTTGCAGGCCAGGTCCCCAGCAAGGGGCACGCAAGATGCAACCACTCATTGATGTCTCTCCCTTTCTTTCTTCCTCCCTTCTCTTCCCTAAGAATAAATACATTAAAAAAAACAGATTTGAATTAAATGTGCATAGTAGTTTGACTTTTATGAATACAACTAGATTATGTATATAAAACAGACCTATCAATCTATTGCACAACAGTGTGCATATAATTAACTCTTCTATACTATACACTTAAAAAATGATTAAGATGGTAAATTTTATGTTGTGTTTTTTACAAAAAAAAAAAAAAGAGAGAGAGAGAGAGAGTAGAGAGAAAAGGGAAGGAGCAGTGTGCCTGAAAGTGATTAAAAGAAGTCCGCCCAGCATAGAGCAGTTTGTCGGCTGAGAGGGGTCCCAGTGCTGGCAGCCCTGTCCCTCGCTGTTGCAAGCATTCAGCCTTGGTTTCCCTGTCCAGAAAGGAGGAAGAGTAGGCAGGCCTTGAGCCTAGGAGAACTGCTTATTTAATGCCAACACTGTGCCAGGCACTTTAACATTTTGCATTTATCTCTCAGGTGTTATTTTCTTAGCTGAGAAGTTGACTTTCCTGTCAACCTCTCTGGAAAGAAAAGTGGCAGAACTGGGATTTGAACTCTTTCATCTCATTCTTACCTAACACTGGAGCATTGGTTATCCACGTTTTTCATCTTCACATCCTCTTGGGTTGTTCCCTGCTTACTTGACTCTAAAAGAGAATTTTCTTCTCTGATGTAAAAAAAAAAAATAATTCTTAGATGTATTTCTGGCTGCTGGAAATGGAGAGAGGAGGGTTCTTGAGTAGGTGTGGATAGGGTCTGGTGGGTGCAGTGAAGAAACCTTCCTGCTGTTGTTTGCTTGGGCTCCTGAATCAGCTTTTCAGATACTGAGCTTAAGGGATTGTACTCGCCAGTTAGGTTGTCCAGAGGAAGGCTTTAAGAATCTGATAACATGGAAGTTTCCTTTCTTTGGACAACTCCTATCGGTAATAGTGGCTGCTTGGAATTTTGTATTGACAAGGGTTTTAAAGCTACATCTACCCTGAGTAGAAAAGAGCTCCATCATTGATTAGCCATGTCTGTCATGGATATGCAATGGAAAAGGGAATATTTGTTATTCCTTCCATCAGTGGAGACCTTATCTCCATAGTCATCTCTTCACTAAGGGGATGAACAAATGTCAATAATCTTTTGAGAAAATGGCCCTTCCCTCAGACAGGAAATGGGAACCTAGAAGGTGGACTTTCTTGAGTTTAGATTTTAAAGTATGAGATTGAAAGGTTCAGCTGGACGAGATCTTCAGGCCTCTAGTTTCAACTGGGCAGTGAGGGACTGGGGATGGGGGAACATCTTCCCACCCATATCAGGAGCTAACACATTAGAAATTTTATTAGTCAAAGAAACAACCAGCATGATAGAAAGGTGGGGAAGGTTGAGGGTGGAGGAAAGGGAGTGTGGCAGTCAATTCTGAAGCTAAGTGACTCATTAATTTGCGCTTGGAGTTCAAAACATCATAGCTAATTTTTTCACTTTACCTTAGAGTTATAGGTAAATTTAATCTTTTCGGATGTATCTCCTCATGCTCTCTGTCAAATTTATTCTTCTTCGCTCCTAAGTTTATTGCACCAATGTCTTTCTCATGAAACTCAGTGTTTCAGTTATGACATCCATAATCTTGCAAGTCATGATCTGCCAGAACCTTGGAGTCATCTTTAGCATCTCCATTGTTTTTACCTAAATGGTTCACAAACTCCTGCCAATTCTATCTAATATATCCATTCTTTCTACTCTACTACCCTCATTGCTGCTATGTTTTCAAATTTTCATTATCTTTTGTCTGTCTTACTGGAAGACCTTTTAAACTGCAAACTCTAAACTTACCTCTTTTATTAGCTTAGTATGAATAATTTCAAACATATACTAAAGCAAAAAGAAATGTGTAATTCCTCATAGCATCTGCCTAAGATATTATTTTACTTTAAATTAATACAAGTAAGGTAATCTGTGAGCTTATTTACTTTTCATTTACTCTCTGTATTTCCCCATACCACTTTTTGGTAGATCTGATGCTTTTTACATTTTCAAAAACTCATATGCTGATTTTTCATCATATGATTTTTTTTCTCTCTTTTTTAAATAGCTAATAGAGACGCTGATGTACTATTTGAAGTATTATTTGATGAAGAATTTCCTGGAGGCTTAACAATAAGGTTCGTTTCCAGGTGATAATTATACTTTATGAATATGTCCATGTGGCCAGTGACTTTCTATTACTTGTTTGTCTACGATCTGAGTTCCTGTTATGAGCAAGGCATCATACTTGCTACTAGGGATGTAACAGTGAATAGGACATTTTTTTTTCTACCCTCGTGGAGCTTCGTTTTAGTTTGAGAGATAATTAACTGATAAAAGTATTAATTAATTAAATTGTGACCAGTTTTGGGAAGGAGAAGTTCAGGTTTCTGTAATAGTATGACCTATCTGATAGTTCTAGAAAGAGGGGACGTGAAGAATGAACACTAGTTAACTAGGGCAAGAGGGAGGAACAGTCACAGGTAGTCAAGAAGAAGGAAAAGCATGTACAGCAACATTTTTAGTCATTCAGAAAACTAAAAGAATGCAAGTGTTTTTAAACTTCAGCAACTGGTAAGATTAGAATGAGAGAGAAAAGCAAGGACCACACTGCATAAGAATGTTTTAGCCATCTTTCAGAACATGTTAAGGATCTTGGGATCTTGGTCTTCATCCTTATTCAACATAAAGCCATCAAAATTAGAGATGTGGCATGATCAGTTTTGCATTTTTTAATGTTTAAATAACATGAGCAATGGAAATTTTTTTTTTTTTAATTTAGTAACATATTAAGTCTTCATTATCTGTTTTAATGTAACTGTGGGTGCTCAAGCTAGATAGGGGTGGTTTAAAGTATAAATGGCAGGTGTCATAAGAGAGACAGAATTGAAGTGACCCTTGAGAAGTTTGACTATGAAGAGGAGAAAAGATAATGAGAAGTTAGGGTGTTTAGAGGTTGAGAATTGGATTCTTATTTTTTGTTTTTAACTTTATTTTTAAATTTATTTTTTTTAATTTAATTTTTATTACATTTATAGGGGTAACAGTTAAATAACATTGTGTAAGTTTCAGGTATGCAACTTTATTAAATAACATTGGTATATTCCATTGTGTACTTCCCCTCCAAAGTCTGGTCTCCTTTTGTCACCATATATTTCACCCCCTTTATCCTCTTTGTTCTCTCCCTAGCCCCCTTCCCATCTGGTAACTATTTTGTTGTCTGTATCTGTAAGTGTGTTCTTTTTTTTTCATTGAATTTATTTGGGTGACGTTGGTTATAAGTTTCAAGAACAGTTCTGTAGTACATCTGTATATTTTGTGTGATCACCATCCAAAGTCTAGTCTTCCATCCTCATTTATTCCCCCTTTACCCTCTTCTACCTGTTCCTACCCCCATTCCTATGGTAATGACCATACTGATACCTGTGTCTGTGTTGTTTATTCTTTTGTTGCTTTTTTTATATCCACATATGTGAGAAATACGGTTTTTGTGTTATTTCACGTAACATGATACTCTCAAGATCCTTCTGTGTTGTCACAAATCGCAACATTTTTTCTTTTTTATGGCTGAGTAAGTATATCCATAAATAACATATGTAGCACATCTTCTTTATCCAATTTTTGGTTGAAGACACTTAGTTTCCCTATCATGGTATTTTGAATAATGCTGCAATGAACATATCTTTATAAATCAGTGTTTTCTAATTTTTTGTGTATATAGCCAGAGGAGAGATTGCTGGGTCATATGGTAGCTCTATCTTTAATTTTTTGAGGAACCTGTATAGTGTTTTCCATAGTGGCTGGACCAATTTACAGTCCTACCAACAGTGTACCAAGGTTCCCTTTTCTCCACATTCTCTCCAGCACTTGCTATGTCTTGCCTTATTGATAATAGCCATTCTAACAGGTGTGAGGTGGTATCTCATTGTGGTTTCAGTTTGCATTTCCCTAATAACTAGTGATGTTGAACATCTTCTCATGTGTCTGTTGGCCATCTCTTTATCTTCCTTGGGAAAGTGACTGTTCATGTCTCTGCTTATTTTTTAATCAGATTTGTTTTCGTTGCTGTTAAGTGCTGTGAGTTCTTTATATATTTTGGATATTAACTCCATATCACAGACTTCATTTGCAGATATCTCCTCCCATTCAGCTGGTTGCCCTTTTGTTTTGTTGTCAGTTTCTTTTGCAGTACAGGAGCTTATTAGTTTGATGTAGTCCCACTCATTTATTTTTTTCTTTTACTTCCCCTTGCCTTTGGGGTCATATTCACAAGAAAAAAAAAAAAAAAAAACAACCCTGAGACTTTAAATTCAGTATTTATGTTTTCTTCTATATATTTTATTGTATCAGGTCTTATAATCAAGTCTTTAATATATTTTGAGTTAACTTTTGTGGATGGTGTCAGATAGCCTAGTTCCTTTCTTTTGCATGTGGCTTTCCAGTTTTTCCAATACCATTAAAGAGACCCTCCTTTCTCCATTGTGTGTTTTTGGCTTTTTTGTTGAAAATTAATTGCCCATATATATGTGGGTATATTTTGGGCTATCAGTTCTGTTCTTCTGGTCTGTGTGTCTGTTTTACTGCCAATACCATGCTGTTTGGATTATTGTAGTTCCGTAGTATAATTTGCTGTCAGGTATGATACCTCTGGCCTTTTTCTCAGGATTGCTTTTGCTTTTTGCTTTTTCAGCGTTCTTTTACAGTTCCAGACAAATCTGATGATTTTTTTTGTTCTATTTCTGTGAAAAATGCCATTGATATTTTGATAGAGGTTGCATTAAATCTATTTATTGCTTTAGGTAATATGACCATTTTAACAGTGTTAACTCTTCCAATCCAGGAACTCAGAACACCTTTCTAGTTCTTTGTGTCTTTATTTTCTTTCAACGATGTCTTGTAGTGTACAGTGTATAGCTTCTTTATTTCCTTCATAAAATTTATTTCCAGATTTTTTTTTGTTGCAATTGTAAATAGGATTTTTTAAAAATTTAATTTACTATTTCATTGTTAGTATATAGGAACACAGTGGGTTTTTGTATATTCACTTTGTATCCTGCAACTTTACTGTATTTTTTTTGTTTGTTTCTAATAATCTTTTGGCTGGAGTGTTTAGGGTTTTCTGTATATAGAATCATGTCATCTGCAGATGGTGACAGTTTTACTTCTTCATTCCCAATTTGGATGCGTTTTACTTCTTTCTTTTGCCTAACTGTTTTGGCTACTACTTGCAGTACTAATTTGAATAATAGTGGTGAGAGTGGACATCTTTGTTTTGTCCCTGGTCTTTGAGGAAATGCTTTCAGTTTTTAATCATTAAGTATGATATTAGCTGCAGACTTGTCATATATGTCTTTATTATGTTTAATTACTTACCTTCAATATTCATTTTATTGAGCGTTTTAATTATACATGGATGTTGTAGCTTGCCTAATGGTTTTTATGCCTCTGTTGATATGATTGTGATTTTTCTCTTTTGTTAATGTGTATCACAATGTTTAATTTGCATATGTTGAGCTGTTCTTGTGTCCTTGGTATGAACCCCGCTAGATTGTGACGCATTATTCTTTTAATGAATTGTTGCATTCAGTTTGCTAATTTTTTTTTTTTTTTTTTTTTACGATTTTTTCACCTACGTTCATCAGAATTATTGGCCTGTAATTTTTTTGTGTTGTCCTTCCCTGATTTTGGTATCAGGGTAACGTTTGACTCATAAAATGAGTAAGGAAGTATTCCCTCTTCAATACTTTAGAACAGTTTGAGAACAATAGGTATTAAATCTTTGAATATTTGATAAAACTTACTGGTGAAGCCACTGGTCCTGGATTTTTGTTTTTTTGGAGGCTTTTGGTTACTGTTTCAATTTCCTTACTAGTGATTAGTCTATTTAGGTTTTTAAGTTCTTCATGATCCAGTCTGGGAAGGTTATTTATTTCTAAGAATTTCTTCTAGACATTGAATTTGGTGTCATATGGTCTTCGTTGTATTATTTGATATTTGTCGTAACTTCTTTTGATTCTGACCTTATTAATTTGAGCCTTTTTTTGTTCTTATTGAGTCTAGTCAGCTTCATTGATTATATTTTTTTCCCAAAGAACTGGCTCTTTGTTTCATTAATTTTTTTCTATTGTCTATTGACTTCAGGCTTAATTTGTCCTCCTTTTTCTATTAAGTTGTAATGGTAGATTGTTCATTTGAGATTAATCTTGTTTCTTGAGGTAGGTCTGTGATACTTTAAAATTCTCTCAGTACAGCTTTGCTGCATCCTAAAACTTTTGATGTGCTGTATTGTCATTTTTGTCTGTCTATATATATCTCTTGAATTTTATTTTTCCTTCAATCTAATAGTTGCTCAGTAGCATGTTGTTTAATCACTACATGTTTGTGGTTTTTCCAGCTTTCTTCTCATATTTGGATTATTTTTAATTTAATATGGGTGAAACTTACTGACATCTGTTTTGGGGAGCATTGAAGCTCCCCGCAAAGCTTAAAGAAAGAAAGCTTAAAGATCCAGGGAAAAAATATGATAGAATGAGAGGTACCATGGAATATTGGAAAATGGAGAATCTCTTGCTTAACCTTTGCATTACCTTGAGTATGTTTACTAAAAGCATTCTCAACCTCAATTTCCTCATGTATAATGAAGATATACTTTATTAGGTTATTTTGTGGATTAAATGAAAAGTTTTCCAGTTTTCCTTTTCTCCTTTCCAAAGTCTGACTGGAAAACTGAACTAAATTTAGTTTAGTTTTTCTTTTTCTTCTCTGTTTTGATTTGTGGGTAATTAAAATTCAAAAAATTGATTATTCTTGTTAGCCACATTTCATAAAATCACAATCTTCAGTCCTTATACCAAGTGGTCACCTTTAGAATGCTATTATCGTTGTTTTGCAATTTGAATGTTCCTGTTAACCAAAGACTTTACTGTTTTCACTCTTCAAGTATAGCAGTAGAGTCTGCATCCCATGTCTGATTTTATTTTTCATTAAAAATGTTTGGTTATGAATAACCTTAGCTCAGTAATTTTGAAATTTTATTTTTATGATAAATTAACTTTTTTCTCAGTCTTTTTTTCCCCTCCTAGGTAGAGGCAGTGGATTTTTTTTCTGACTGATAAAGAACTGTGTAAAAGATTACCTGCCTGCTGTATACTCATTTCTACAGTGCAGAATCTTCAAGTATAGTTATTACAGAACCATTTTCTATACATGTTACAGAGAATTCTCATAAAATAAATCTACTTCTTCATGACCTTGCAATATAAGAAAATTATTTTAGAAAATAGCAGGTAATAGAGTTGAAAAGTTTTGATGAAAGAAGGCTTATTTCAATATTTAACACTTCTATCAAGGTCAGTCAGGAAGGAAGGAAATTACCAATATTTATCTCTTAAACCTTTCTAAGTCTAGAACTTTAAGATGGGAAGATGAGGGTGAAAAGGGGCTGGATCAACAATTGATCAGGAGACAAGTGTGATAAAAGGCAACATTTGCCTTGTTGCATAGATAGAGGCATACTGAGAATGGCTCCACACTTGGGTAGCTTCTGCGATTTCCTAACCCAGACTGTACAAACCACCATCTTTTTAAGAAATTTGACATTTAATTCATAAACTTAGTCATTCTCAGCTGTTACATTGTAGGCCTTCCTGAGGGCAAACTAACACACACATACTCACCTTTACATATATAACTACACCTCTAGAACAGTTTTATTCCCCACTTAGTATCACTGAATGGTCTATAGGGAAACTCTTCAGAAATGCATCATCTTATAAACTGAGGTTTTTCTATGATTTCAAGTTGCTCTATTGAATTAAAAGGTAATATTTATTGATTTGAATTACAGACTGTCCCCCCCAAAATTATTTGATTCTTCTTCCTAGCATATTCACTATTATTTCACTCTGAGTGTGATGTAACTTTATACTTTTAGGTGCTCACCTGGTAGGGGTTATCGACTGCCAACAAGTGCCTTGGTGAACCTTTCTCATGGGAGTCGTTCTGAAACTGGAAATCAGAAGTTGACAGCCATTGTGAAACCACAACCAGCTGTGAATCACTATAGCTCAAATTCGTCAGTTTCATCTGGGAATTTGGGAGTCCTGAACCATTCCCCTCAATCAATTTTTGTTCCTACACAAGTAAGACCCTTTGTCTTTAATTTCTCTGTACCCATTTTACAAATCATAGGCACACTGTAAATAGAAACCTAATTTGACTTAATTTTTTTTCAAAATCAATTCCAGATTTGTTTTAAACTAATGGGCCAGTGGAGAATGCCATTGATAGCATTCTACCTATGTTGTAAAATTACAATTATATTAAAGAAGAAAGATGTTTATTTTAAAAAGTCTTGAAAAATGCCTTTTCTCTTTATATGTCTACTTTAAAACTAACAGTAAATTTTTTTTATATAACCCAAATGCCCGATTATATCTGCTATAAAAATTATAGAAATTTGAAAGGCAAAAGGGAGAGGACTATATCATGTTTATCAAAAGCAGTTTTCAAGTTCTCACCATGTAATTCATGGGTAATTCCCTTTTGTCTTTCTGGGGACAAAAATTGAGCTGTTTTGTGTGAGACACTTACCTTTATTCAATTCTGTGACCACAGACCTTACCACACTCTTTAATCCAAATAATACATGCTTATTGTATAGACTAATTAGAAAACACAGGTAAGTAGATAATAACAAAGGAAACAGAAGCAAAAATCCTTTAGAATCTCATAGGTAACTACTGTTAAATTTTGTTGCTTATGTTTGCAGAGTTTTAATCTGCATGAAATCAGTTCTCCATATGTAATAGCTGATTTTTAATCTATTTTATATAAGATGAAGATTTTTAAAATAAAATCATTAGATATTAAGTTTAAATGAGATAATATATCAGTACCTTGAAACACAAAAAGAACCTGTTGGTGGTGATATGTTGATTCAGTATATTCTTTTATAGCATTTGTTGTACTGTAAATACTTTACAATAAAACCATTCAAAACCAAGTAAATAAGAAGAAAGACATTTTTATTCCTATGGTCACGATACCGTAGAGGTATACTGTAGCCCCAGAAGAAAAGAATTGAAATTTCAGATAATGAAAGTCAAATATCCTGTCTCATGCTAAATAATTTTAATGAATAAATTATTTGATTTTTAATATACGTTTTATTTGTTCATGTTTCAGTTTCTTAAGAAATTTCTTGTGCTTTGCCAGGTACCTACTAAAGATGATGATGAATTTTGCAACATTTGGCAGTCCTTACAGGAATCTGGAAAGGTTCAGCACTTCCAGCCAACTCTGCAAGAGAAGGTTAGTATACCTTTTTTGATGGACTTAACTTTTAAAGATTTAATTTTATATATTTTTTTAGGTATGAAATGATTAATTTTCTTCTGAAATCTTCTCATAAAATAGAAATAACAGTTTTGATCATGAAGCTGTATACTTCCATTCAGCTACATATAAAAAATGTTTTGGACCAATGAATGAGAATATAGACAATTTATCTTTTAAATCAGTTTTGGATTTTTCCAGCTGTTTACAAAATCATAATCACTGTTGTTTAAATTGAACAAAGTCCTTAATGGCACTTACTAACTCATTTATTTCCACTTGAATATATAGCTTTATGCTGGCAGTTGACTGTCTTAAAGATGAATGAGCAAGCAAATTGACATTCCTTGATAGAGGAAAGAAATTCTGCTAAAAGAGTAGACTCAAACCAAAAAAAAAAAAGAGAAAAAAAGACAAAGAAGAAGAAAAGGAATGAATTCCTAGGCCTTTCTTGCATGTTACTGGTCTATCTTCTTAGCCTAAGTCAAGAAGGAATGTTCTTTGAAGTTTATAAATCAGTATCCTGTACCATAAAGGCCTCATTTATTCTATATCTTCCAGTGGTGGTGGCATTATCAGAGTTATAGAGGGGAAGATAGCAAGGGGAATGATAGTAAAATAAACATAAAAAGTGAGAGTGACAAAATACCCAGGTATCCTCTGCCAATATGCTATTAATAAGTATTCCTTAGATCATCCATAAATTGTTTCTATCTAAATATAACTCATGTCCAGATTTTCAAACCTTCTTTTTTTCTTTAATGTATTTGGTACTGCTAACCACTCATTCTAAAGAAGTGCTTTGTTAACATTCATTCATTCATTCATTCATTCATTCAACACATATTTATTGTGTGCCTACCATATGGACTTAGACCAGGGTAATAGGAATCTGTGAGAAGTGGTCAAATGCTAGACATATTTGGAGGGATTGCCAGCTGGCGATGAATTAGGTATGGGGGTAAAAGAGAAATAATGGATTAAACGATGTGATTCTTAAGATTTGAGTAACTAAAAGGACAGAGTGACTGTTAGCTGTGATGGGGAGGATTGTGGGTCAGTAGCTTTGTAGGAGAGATTAAGAGTTCAGTTTTGGACACGGTGAGTTTGAGATTTGTACTAAACATTTAAGTGCAGACTTAGAGTTGGCCATTGAGTCTGAGGCTCATGGAGGATGTCCAAGCTGGAGAGAGAATTTGGGAGTCATCATCTATGTATGTGCATGTATATCTGTGTATCTGTGTAACAATTCTTTAATTATCTATATCGAAGGAAATAGATGTAGATAGAGAAGAGGTCTAATAACTTAGCCTTAGAGAATAACATCCTTAAAAAGTTAGAGTGATTAGGTGAAACTGACAAAGAAGACTGAGAAATAGCAGCCAATGAAGCAGAAAGAAAACCAGGAAAGGGTGGTATCTAGATGCCAAGCAAAGAATGGATATCATACAGGATCCATGTGTCAAATGTTGCTCTTGGATCAGTTAAGATAAAAACTGAAAATTGCCCACAGAGTTTAGCACACAAAGGTCACTGGGAACGTTGACAAGAGCAATTTCAGTAGCATGATGATAGGAGTGATATACTGATTACAGAGGGCTGAAGAGAAAATGTGAGGAGAGAAGTCGGAGGCAGTCAATATAAGCAGTTTTTACAAGGGTTTTGCTGTAAAGGACACATTATCTGAGTTCCCTGTTGGCCTTTCCTATTAACTTCTTTATTAACCTCTGTTCTTCCAGCCTTTCATGAGGACTGTTCCCTGGAACTCCAGAATAGTTTTCTTTTACCTTGCCCTATTGCTTGGCTTGTGACTTTGGCTCTTTCCTGTCTTCTAATTACCACTCAATCTATGTCTGAATCCAGCCTCTCAATCAAGATCTAACCCAGTGTCTCCCAACTATCTAGAAGACAGGTATAGATGGATACCCACCATCCCCTCAAACCTCAAGATGTCACAGAATTGACCTCATTTGTGGCCTCTTCTCTTATCCTTATTTCTAAAACTACCATTTTCCTCAGAGATATAATCTGAAAAGCATGGAATTAAAAATTTTATTCTCCTAATGATGTTTTGCAGTGAGACCACAAACTGTTTACACCTTCTCAGTTTGTACAGCTGGACCTTAGATTGTGATCCCAGGCCTAGATTAACCTCCTATCTGCATTTTCTAATTCTTAATTTCTTTCTTTCCTGGTTCTTCTTACATAGTACTGCCTGATCAATCTTTTCCAAAGATCTTTCCATCTGTCTTGGCCCCATGGCGTAATTGAGCAAAGTTTCTAATTGATAAGAGCTCCTAAGTTTTAACTCAGTTTATGCCCTGAGGCAGTGTGGTATGGTAAATCTGGGATTAAACTCAGAATCAGGAAGCCTGATTTTGTGACTCAAATTGAGCAAATATAACTTTTCTGAGCTGCTTCTGCGTAAGATTGTGTTTGTGGGCTTAGATCAAAGTGGACGTCTTTTCTAGCCCTAAAATAGTGTTGTTCAAATACTTAGAATGTGTAGGGCTCCTTGTTTAGTACTACTACCGGAATTATGCAAACTAATATTTAGTCCTTTTATAAGCTAACCCTACCTGATTCTCATATACAGCATGTCCACGTGTTTGGTGAAATAGTCTGTACCAAATTAGTCTCTCTACTTTCCCTCAAACATGTAAATCCCATTTCAGCTCATCTATACGTCTTGTTCCTTCCATTTAGGATGCTTTTCCTCTCTCACTACCAAAGTACCCTTAAGTCTCAGCCAGGGTGTTCTGGATGTTACCAACTATATGTCCTTGAGGAAACATTATATTATATTTTCTCAGAATATTCTCCATGCATCTCCTGTTACTGGTTACTGTTTTATTATTTATATCAGTTGTGTGCTCCAGTGTTTTACCTCCAGTATCTTCCAAGAATTATGAGCCACCACATACAACACTCATATCCATGAGGCATTAAGAAGCAGCTTGATAATCATCCAGTGAACAGGTTCTAGAAAATTCAACATGATTAAAAAAAATTCAGCTTCTGGAAAAGATAAAACTGGAAGCAGTAGAAAGATCAGTCATTGCCAGGGGTTAGAGAGAAAGCAAAGGGTTAATAGGTGGAGCACAGAAGATTTTAGGGTACTGAAAAATACTCTGTGATACTGTTGTCAACGTTAGAGAAACATCCAAACCTGTGAAGAATTTTTATGAGTTTATTTGAGCCAAAGGACAGTGTGCCAGGAAGCAAAATCTCAGATGTTCCCTAGAATGACTTTGCAGTTTGTTTCCTCATTTGGCATTAAAGAAGGAACATAAGGAAGATTACAGGAACAAGGGAGAAAGTAAGGCAGAGAAATACCAATGATTAGGTTACAGGATAACAAGATTATGTGCTCTCTGGATGGTGGTTATCCTTCCAGAGGTCTGAAAAAGAGGCTTTTCAAGGAGGTGTTAACCTCGATGCACAAAAACAAGGAACAGAGCTTAGCTTAAGGTAAAGATAAACCTTGTGTTAGGGAAGAAATAGGCCTGAGGCTTACTACCCTCCCTGACCTGCCCAGTTAGGAATTCATGATCAGATCACCCTGTGAGGTTACTTTCGGTTAGATTTATTACAGAGCCCCTTTTTCATCCCCACTGTAATGCTGGATACATGTCGTTATGCATTCATCCTAACCCATAGAATGTAAAACACCAAGAGTAAACCCAGTGTAAACTGTGGACTTTGGGTGATAATGATCTGTCAATATATGTTCATCGATTGTAATAAATAAACCCATCCCATAAGGGATGTCGCTAATGGTAAGGCTCTGCATGTTTGAGGGCAGGAGGCGATTTTGTTACGAACCTAAAACTGCCCTTAAAAAAAGAGTCTTTAAAAAAAATTCAAGCTTTTTATTGGCAAAATATGAAAAGGTGACTAACACAAATAGCTTAATGTAGATAAAACAACCCAAAAAACTATACTCAAAACTAGACATTTTTTCTTTTTTTTGAAAGAATTTATTTATTTATTTTTAGAGAGAGGGAAGGGAGGGAGAAAGAGGGAGAGAAACATCAGTGCATGAAGGAAGAATCATCAATCAAGTTGCCTCTCACCAGGTACTGGGCCTGCAATCCAGGCATGTGCCCTGATTCAGAATTGAATCGGCAACCGTTCACTTTGCAGGATGGTGCTCAACCAACTAAACCATGCTGGTCAAGGCTGATTAAACTTGTGGCACACATTTTTCTCTGAAACATTACTGTGAACTTGGGTTTTAGAGTTAGAAGTCAAATATCAGTTCTCCTATTATTTAGTTCTATAACCAAATTATTTTATCACTTTGAGCCTGAATTTAGTTACCTGTACAATGGAATCAAAATCTACCATAGCATTTTTATAATTATAGCATTGTTATAATGATATTAAAATAATGAATACAAAGCATATCTTCCCATGCCTGGCACATAATAGACATTTGCACAATATTTGTTCATATCAATCTGTTGTTCTGATTCCCTTCCTTAGAGTCAAAATATCCCATAATGTACTGCTGTAGCCCAAAACCCCACCAACCATTTGTGGTATACAAATAGGAATCCTTTGGTCCTTTTGACTGTTAAAGACTAAAGAACCCTGGGTGTTCTGTGCATATGAGCTCATTGGACCTTCCTTCACACTCTGGTGCATGTCACAAATGTTTTCGAGCATGCTCACTGCCAACTAGGACATGTTGTCCCTTTGTGCCCAGTGTTCATTATTTGTCTGTGCTCAGAAGAAAATAAATAGGGCTCACCAAAAACAAAACTGTGAAATAATAAATTTGTGTTGAACGTCTGCTTTTCAAAAGCCTCTGCTTTTGTCTCCTCTTCTGCTTCACGTGTGGAAAGTTATCTATACCTTGTTGCCCTCAGGCCTCCTCTGCCTCTCAGAAAACAAAGGGATATGGTATGATCTTTAGACAAAACTCATGCCTTTTTGCAAATTCTGTCCATCCCTGTACCGTCTCGGTTGCTGTGGCTTTATAGTCAGTCTTGCTCTCTGGTTATAGTCTTCAGTCATTTGAAATAAAAGACACATTTTTCATTTTCACCAATAATTTTATTGATTTGGATATTTTGAGTATATCAGCTCTCCCTCTAGAGGTATGACATTGATTGTTCTCAATTAATGTCTTGATTTGATTGGTATCAGCTTCAACTGGTCTACCCAACAATGAAGCGTCAGCCAGCAAGAAATCTCCAGTACAAAACTTTGCAAACCACTTTGGAAATGTTTGATCAGTCACAGGACCTTCTCCATACACTACTGCACAAATCTTTTTTGTGTTTCAGTTACATTTTTACTCTTCTTGAAATAATAAAACATAATATGCCAAAAATGTAACTTATTTTCTTGCATCTTCAATATTAAAATAGCTAAACAAAAATTCATCAATTTTGCTAAGTTTTTTTATAATGCATGCTGGTATGACAGGTGTCACAATACAATCTAACAAAATTTTTACAATTGAAGTTAAAGACAACTAAGCACTATTAGAGCCAACCAAATGAACCTTTTGGCCAACCCAGTAAAAAATCAGGGCTTGTGGAAAGGGATGAAGAAGGGCTAGTAGCCTCAATTTTCATATCAGAGGCAGAAATGAATTTTCAATAATATTTTTAATAGAAAATTTTAAAATAATGAAAACAAGAGAATAGAATAGCAAACCCACAGATACCCATCCTTTACCTTGCACATGTTCTGAAACACCTACTCATTTCCCACCCCACTTATCCCAGAGATAGGAATATTTTTAAGCAAGGCTAGAGGAATTTTTATTTTTTAAAAGATTTTATTTATTTATTCATTTTTGAGAGGGGGAAAGAGAAGGAGAGAAACATCAGTCAATTGCCTCTTGCATGCCCCCAGCTGGGGACCTGCCCACAACCCAGGCATGTGCCCTGACCAGGAATCAAACTGGTGACCCTTTGATTTGTGGGATGATGCCCAACCCACTAAGCCACATACATCAGTCAGGGCTAGAAGAATCTTTAGAGGCCATTAATTCTGTTGTGAAGAAACATTAACCTGAGATTTAATCATTTCTTTAATTTCTGTCTTAACTTCAAGCAAAATAGATTTAATTTTTCCTATTAAAAGTAGCATTTTTGTAAAATGTTAGTTTTCTGTGTATCTTGCTAAGTAATGTATAGAGCAATATCTTGAGTGATGATCATTATGTTAATAATGGTTATTTCTGAGTGGTGGAATATGAGTGGTTTTGAAAATTCTCTATACTCTTCTGCATTCCTTAATTTTTTTTCTAGTAAACTATACAGTTTTAATAAAAATAATTATTAAACATTGAAGAAAATAAGTAATTATAATGCTAACAGTTGATTTAAATCATTTATGAGAATTTTGATTTTCAGGGTACAGTTCTACCTCAAGAAATAAGTCAAGTAGCTCAGCATCATAAATCCAGCTTAAATGACAACAGTGCTAAATGTCAGCAAAGAAAACATGAGACTCACAGAAAATGTAAGTTTTAAGTTAAAAAGGTATACGTGTGGTATTAACTACTTTTTGTTTTTATTAATAGCTTTACTGAATTATAATTCACATAACAAGATTGATTATTTTAAAGTATGCAATCAGTCGTGGGTTTGTTTGTTTTTTTCGTATTTTTACAAGTTCTACAACCAATGCCACTATCTAAATTGAAAATATTTTCATCACCCCCAGAAAGAAATATCTTACCTATAAGCAGTCACTCCTCCAGCCCCTGGCAACTGCCAATTTACATTCTGCCTCTGTGGGCTGGTCTATTCTGGACATTTCATATAAATGGAATCATAAAATATGTGACCTTTTATGGCTGACTTTTTTCAATTGGCCTGATGTTTTCAAGGTTCTTCAGTGTTACATGTTGTGGCATGTATCAATACTTCATTCCTTTTAATGGCTAAATAATATTACATTATACAGATACTGCATTTTATTTGTCATTCATCTGTTTATCGATGGGCATTTGTGAAACTTCCACTTTGGGGTTATAATGAATAATGGTGCTATGAATATCTGTGTACAAGTTTTTGTGTGAACATATTTTTGCAGTTCTCTTGGGTAAGTATGAATGAGTAGAATTACTGAGTCATATATTAACTGTTTAGCTTTTCGTGGAACTCTAAACTGTTCTCGAAAATAGTTGTGCCATTTTTCATTTCTACCAGCAGTGTATAAGGGTCTAACTTTTCCACATCTTCCATAACAGTTGTAACTGTCCATTTTTTTTATTGTAAGTCATCCTAGTGGGTGTGAAGTGAATCCTCCTTGTGCTTTTCACTTATGATTCATTAATAACTAATAATGCTGAGCATCTTTTCATGTGCTTATTGGCTCTTTATATATCTGGTGAAATGTCTATTCAAATTATTTGCTCAATTTAAAATTGGGTTATTTGTTTTTTTATTTTTTGGAAGGATTCTTAACATACTCTATATTACAGGCTCATCTGATATTTTTTGTTTTATTTTGGTTTAGCTTTTTTCTGGTTGCTTGTGCTTTAGGTGTCATAATCAAAAAACCATTGCCTAACCCAAGGTCACAATGACTTATACATGTTTTTTTTCCCCCCCTAAGACTTTTATACTTTTAGCCCTTACACTTAGGGTTTTTGTCGTCCACATTTTTGAGTGTTTCTATGCAGTAGGGGTCTGTATTCATTCTATTTCATATGGATATCCAGTTGTCCCAGCACCATTTACTAAAATGCTGTTCTTTCCCCCACTGAAAGAACACCTTGACACCCTTGTCAGAAACCAACTGACCGTAGATTTATGGAATTATTTCTGACCCCTCAGTTCCACTGCATTGATCTATATGCCATCTTATTTTGTTTTTGTTTTTTTTTAAGATCTACTTTCTTTTTTCTTTTTCTCTTTATTTATTTTATTATTTTTTTAAATTAGTTAATTTATTTTTTCAAATACATTTGTCTCTGCCTTCCCTCCACCACTTTCCCCTGCCCCCTCCCTCGTCTCCCCTCCCCCTTTTCCCTCCCTCAGTCCTTCCACACTTTGGTTTTGTCGTTGAGTCCTTGCTGTATGTTCCTTGATTTGCCCCTTCCCTTCCTTTTCCCCCGCCCTCCCCTCCGTCCTTCCCTCTTGACTCTGTTGATTTCTTTTCCTTTCAGTGTTGCTGGTCTTATTTTCCGTGCATCTTTGTATTGTTGGTTAGGTTCCACTTCTAGGTGAGATCATATGGTATTTGTCTTTCGCCCCCTGGCTTATTTCGCTTAGCATAGTGCTCTCCAGTTCCATCCATGCTGTCGTGAAGTTTAGTGGTTCTTTTTTTCTTTCTGCTGCATAGTATTCCATTGTGTATGTGTACCATAGTTTTTTGATCCAATCATCTACTGATGGGCATTCAGGTTGCTTCCAACACTTGGCTATTGTAAATTGTGCTGCTATGAACATTGGGGTGCATAGGTTCTTTTGTATTGGCGTTTTGGTGTTCTTAGGGTATAGTCCCAGCAGGGGAATCACTGGATCAAAAGGCAGTTCCATTTTCAGCTTTTTGAGGAAATTCCACACTGCTTTCCACACTGGCTGCACCAGTCTGCATTCCCACCAACAGTGGACTAGGGTTCCCTTTTGTCCACAGCCTCGCCAGCACCTGTTGTTTGTGGATTTGTTTATGATGGCCACTCTGACCGGTGTGAGGTGGTACCTCATGGTGGTTTTGACCTGCATTTCTATGATGGCTAGTGATGCTGAGCATCCTTTCAAATGCCTCTGGGCCCTCTGTATCTCCTTCTTGGAAAAGGGTCTGCCCAGGTCCTTTGCCCATTTTTGGATTGGATCTTTTATCTTCTTGGAGTGGAGTCGAGTGAGTTCTTTATATATCTTGGAGATCAAACCTCTATCTGATGTATCATTAGCGAATATATTTTCCCATTCGGATGGCTCCTTTTTCATTTTGCTGATGTTTCCTTTAGCCGTGCAGAAGCTTCTCATTTTGATGAAGTCCCACTTGTTTGTTCTTTCCTTTATGTCCCTTGCTGTAGGAGACATATCAGTGAAAAAATGGCTGTGTGAGATATCTGAGAGGTTCCTGCCAATGTTCTCCTCTATGACTGTTATGGTTGCGACTTATATTTAAGTCTTTTATCCATCTTGAGTTTATTTTTGTGTATGGTATCAGCTGATGCTCCAGTTTCAATTTTTTCATGTAGCCGTCCAGCTCTCCCAACACCATTTGTTGAAGAGGCTATCGTTGCTCCATTTTATACTTCTGCCCCCTTTGACAACTAATAGTTGCCCATGTAAACTTGGGCTTATTTCTGGGCTTTCTGTTTTGTTCCACTGGTCTATGGGTCTGTTCTTGTGCCAGTACCAGATTGTTTTGAGTATAATGGCTTTGTAATATAGTTTGATGTCCAGTATTGTGATCCCTCCTACTTTGTTTTTCTTTCTCAAAATTGCTGTAGCTATTAAGGGTGGTTTATAGTCCCATGTAAATTATTGAAATGCCTGTTCTATTTCTGTGAAATATGTCATTGGTATCTTAATAGGGATTGCGTTGAATCTATAAATTGCTTTGGGTAGAATGGACACTTTGATGATATTAATTCTTCCAATCCATGAGCATGGTATATGCTTCCATTTATTTGTGTCTTCCTTAATTTCTTTCTTCAATGTTGTATAGTTTTCTGCATACAGGTCTTGTACCTGCTTGGTGAAATTTATTCCTAGGTATTTTATTTTTCTTGTTGCTATATCGAATGGTATTTTTTTTTTCTGATTTCTTCTTCTGTTTCATTGCTGGTGTACAAAAGTGCCTTTGATTTCTGAATGTTGACTGTATCCTGCTGTTTTGCCAAATTCACTTTTTTGATTGAGTGTTTTTTGGTGGAGTCTACAGGGGTTTCTATGTACACTATCATGTTATCTGCAAACAATGATAGCTTTACTTCCTCCTTTCCTATTTGGATGCCTTTCATTTCTTTTTCTTGTCTCACTGCTGTGGCTAGGATTTCCAATACGATGTTGAAAAGAAGTGGTGATAGCGGACATCCTTGTTGTGTTCCTGATCTTATGGGAAAGCTTTTAGTTTTTGCCCATTGAGTATGATGTTGGCTGTAGGTTTTTCATATATGGCCTTTATTACGTTGAGGAATGCCCCCTTTATTCCTATGTTACTGAGTGGGTTTATCATAAATGGATGTTGTACCTTATCGAATGCTTTTTCTGCATCTATCGAGATGATCATGTGGTTTTTGTCTTTTATTTATGTGATGTATTACATTTATTGATTTGCATATATGAACCATCCCTGCAACCCTGGGATCTATCCCTCTTGATCATGGTGGATAATCTTTTTAATGTATTGCTGGATGCAGCTTGCCAATACTTTGTTGAGGATTTTAGCATCTGTGTTCCTCAGCGAAATTGGCCTGTAGTTTTCTTTCTTTGTAGAATCTTTATCTGGTTTTGGGATCAGGGTGATGCTGGCCTCACAAAAAGAGTCTGGGAGTCTTCCCTCCTCTTGGAATGTTTGGAATAATCTGAGAAGGACAGGGTTTATCTCTTCCTTAAATGTTTTGTAAAGTTCTCCTGGGAAACTGTCCGGCCCTGGGCTTTTATGTGCCGAGAGTTTCTTGATTACTGCTTCAATTTCCCCAGCTATTATCGGTCTGTTCAAGCTTTCTGTTTCTTCCTCCTTCAGTGTTGGAAGATTATACTTTTCTAGAAATGTGTCCATTTCATCAAGGTTTTCAAATTTCTTGGCATATAATTGTTCAGTGTAGTTTCTGACAATCCTTTGTATTTCTGTGGTATCAGTTGTTACTTCTCCTCTTTCATTTCTGATATTATTAATTTGGGTCCTCTCCCTTTTATTCTTGATGAGTCTCCTTAAAGGCTTGTCAATTTTATTTATCTTTTCAAAGAACCAGCTTCTGGATTGGTTGATGCTTTGAATTGTTCTTTTCGTCTCTATGTCATTCAGTTCTGCTCTCATCTTGACCATTTCCTTCCTTCTACTTGCTCTGGGATTTATTTGTTGTTGTTTCTCCAGTTCTTGAAGTTGTAGTGTTAGGTCTTTTATTTGAAATGTTTCTCTCTTTTTTACGTAGAACTGTGTTGCTATGAACTTCCCTCTCGGGACTGCCTTTGATGTGTCCCATAGTTTTTGGACTGTTGTCTGTTCATTTTCATTTGTTTCCAGAAATTTTTTGTTTTCTTGTCTTATCTCATTATTGACCCATTCATTGTTTAATAGTGTACTGTTCAGTCTCCATGAGTTTGCAAGTTTTTGAAGTTTCTCTTTGAGGTTGATTTCCAGCCTCAAGCCCTTGTGGTCTGAGAAAAAGTTTGGTATTATTTCATGTTTCCTGAATTTGCTGAGGGTTCCTTTCTGTCCTGTCATGTGGTCGATCTTTGAAAAACGTCCATGGGCATTTGAAAAGAATGTGTATTTTTCTTCTTTGGGATGTAACGTTCTATATATGTCAGTTAAGTCTATTTGATTCAGTGCATCATTCAGCTCCATGATATCCTTGATGATGTTTTGTTTGGAAGATCTGTCCATTTTTGACAATGGGGTGTTGAAATCCCCTCCTGTCAGTGTGTTGCTGTTTATATCTTTTTTGAAGTTGTCCAAGATTTCCTCATATATTTGGGTCTATATGTTGGTTGCATATATGTTTACAATGTTTATGTCTTCTTGATAGATTCTTCCTTTAAGTATTATAAGGTGTCCCTCTGGGTCTCTTTTATTGCTTTTGTTTTGAAATCTATTTTGTCTGATATAAGTATTGCTACCCGTGCTTTCTTCTCTCGCCCATTTGCTTGGAATATTTTTTCCATCCCTTTACTTTCAATCTGGGTAGGTCTTTTGCTCTGAGGTGAGTCTCTTGTAGGCAACATATGTGTGGGTCATGTTTTCTTATCCATTCAGCTATCCTGTGTCTTTTGATTAGAGCCTTTAGTCTGTTTACATTTAGAGTTATTACTGATAGAAACCTATTCATTTTTTCTCTTTGTATCTGTGTTTTTCTCTTTCTTACTCTTTTTCTTCATCTTCTTAAACCAGTCTCTTTAGCATATCTTGTAGTGCTGTTTTGGTAGAAGTGTATTCTTTTAGCCTTCTTTTGTCTGGAAACCCCTTATTTCACCTTCTGTTTTAATTGAGAGCCTTGCTGGGTACAGCAGCCTTGGTTGTCAGTCCTTGCTTTTCATTACTTGGAAAATTTGTTGCCATTCCCTTCTGGCTTGTAGTGTTTCTGTTGAGAAGTCAGCTCCTAGGCGCATGGGGGCCCCCTTTTATGTTACTTTCTCCTTCTCCCTTGCTGCCCTGAAGATTCTCTCTTTGTCTTTGATAGTTGCCATTTTAATGATGATGTGTCTTGGAGTGGACCTCCTTGAGTCCCTCTTGAGTGGGGCCCTCTGTGCCTCCTGGATCCATGAGATGTTTTCTCTCCTCAAATTGGGGAAATTTTCCATCATTACTTTTTTGAAGAGGTTCTCTATCCCTTGCTCCTCTTCTTCTCCCTCTGGTATCCCTGTTATGCAGATATTATCGTGTTTCAGGTTGTCCTGCATTTCCCTAAATGCCTGTTCGTTCTTTTTGAGTCTTTTTTTCCATTTCTTTTTCTTTCTGGGAGCTTTTTTCTACCTTATCCTCCATCTCACTGATTCGATCCTCAGCTTCATCCAGCCTGCTTTGGATTCCTTCTCCTGTGTTCTTCAATTCAGAAATGGTATTCTTCATATCCTCTTGTGTCTTCTTGATAGTCTCTATGTCCTTTTCCACATTGATGTAGTTTGCTGTAAGATGCTGATAGTTTCTCTGCAGTTTCTCATAGTTCTCTTTGAGCTGGCTGAGCTCATTGAGCTTCCTTAGAGCCCTTGTTTTGAATTCAATATCTGGTATTTCCCTTGCCTCTATTTCATTTAGCTCTCTCTGTGGGGCTTCCTCTTTTACCCTCATTTGGGGGACTTCTTTTTCTTCCCATTTTTTAGAGATTCTATTATTTTTTTTAATGCATTCATTCATTCATTCATTCATTCATTTTTGCTTCTGCTTCAATTGACCCATCTAGATCTCCTGACTTTGTGGATTAAACTTCTATGGTAGTAGGCAGGTCGGTCTATCTATCTATCTATCTATCTATCTATCTATCTGTTTTTCTTTTTTTATTTGTTTAATTACTGAGTGAGCCTGAGTGAGCCTGAGTGAACGGGCGCCGTAGCCCCGATCCGTGGAGTGCTCACCGGACCTCAAGCGCTCGCCTGCCGTTAGGCGTGCACCCCCGCACTGGTCAGGTTAGGGTCTTCCATTGTATGCTTTCCCTGCCTCTGCCTCTTTGGGCGCGTGGCCTGCCTGCGCAAATGGAGACTATGGAATGGGGGAGGAACTGTCTTCCACGGATCTCAGATAATCCTCCAGTTCTTTCCCCAATCCCTCAGTCTCCAGTATCTCCTCAAGGGTCTCTATGCAGCTGTGTCCCCTGTGGCCAGGGATTCTCTATATCTTCCAGCCAGTCTACACTCAGCCCCTTGCCCACGCGCACACAAACTGTGTGCGGAGCGCGCAAAAGGCAGGTTAATTGATTCTCTTATGCCTGGGCGAGGTGGTAGCTGCAGAGTGGGAGGTGAGTTATGACTGGGGCTCCGCTGGCCACCGTCTCAGTTCACAAAGTTTTCCTCACCAATCTTTCCTCAGGCACCAGCCCACTCTGCTCCCGCCTCTACCCAGAGATCATGGAGGGCAGCTGCCGCTGCAAATTTTTGCATTCGCCCTTTAAGTGTCTCTTTGCATCTCCAGCCACCTGTCTCTGGCAAAGAGCACCCCTAAGCTTTTCGGGGTTGCGTTTTGTCTGTGCGTTTTCCTGGTTTCAGCTGCTGTAGTCTCGGGTCCCTTTTTATGGTTCAGACCCTGTTCTTCTCAGGGGGATCCAACTGGCCGTTTCAATGTCCCTCTGGTGCTGGTACCTGTGGGCGCCCAGCCCACCCTCTGGAGCCTCCACAGCACTTCTCACCTGTTAGGATGTGTGAAAGTTGATTCCACTGTCTGTCCACAGCTCCAAGGCTCCTCTCCCTCATTGTTTTCCAGGTGATTTCTCCACTATTTAGTCGTAATTCCAGTTTGGTCTTGGGAGGAGGTCCACGTGACTCCCGTTCACTCCTCCACCATCTTTTTTTTTTTTTTTTTTTTAATATGCCATCTTTATGGTAGCAACACACCATGTTTACTACGGTACATTTGTTTTGAAATTGGGGAGTTTCAATCTTCCAATTTTTCTTTTCCTGATTGTTTTGTCTATTCTGGTCCCTTGCATTTTCATATGAATTTTAGGATCAGCTTGTCTATTTCTGCAAAAGTGGCAGCTTGAATTTTTATAGGGATTGCGTTGAATCTGTAGATCACATTGGGTGGTACTGTTTTTTTAACGATAGTAAGTCTTTCTGTCCATGAACACAAAATGTCTATTTATTTAGGTCTTCTTTAATTTCTCTTAAAAATGTCTTGCAGTTTTCATTGTACAAGCCTTCTTTTGTTAAATGTATTTCTAAGTATTTTATTTTTTACTGCTATTGTCAATGGAACTCAATTTTTTTATTATTCGTTATTATATATAGAAATAAAACTGATGTTGTGTATTGATCTAATGTCCTTCTATCTTTTGGAAGTTGTTTATTAGCCCTAATATTTTGTGGCCTTTGCAAATAGTTTTACTTTTTCCTGTACAATCTAGATGCTTTTCTTATTCTTGCCTTACTGCTGTGGCCAGAACCACCAACACAATGTTAATAGAAGTGATGAGCGTGAACATTCTTATCTTGAGCTTAAGGATAACTTTCAATCTTTCAGCAGTAAGTGTAGTGTTAACTGTGGGGTTTTGATAGATGCCTTTCATTATTGGAGGATGTTCCCTTCTATTCCTAGGGTGTTTTTTGTTTTTCTTGGAGGGATGTTAGATTTTCTCAAATGCTGTTTCTGTGTCTATTGAGATGATCATATGGTTTCCTTGAGGACTTCTGCACCTATGTTCATAGGGGATATTTTTAATTTTCTTTTCTTGTGATGTCTTTGATTTTGATATCATGGAAATACTGTCATCATAGACTGTTGGGTATAACACTTTGAAAGAGCTCCAGCTCTTTTTGATCTCTCTGTGGGTTTTCACCAAAAGTTCTAGCTGTTATTTTCGAAGGCTACATGGAGCTGGAGACTGGGAAATGGAATTAGGGAATGTAAAAATGCCACAGAGTTCACTGTTCTTACTGATTTTGTCTTTTTCTTGAATATTATTCCCCGATTGCTGCAAGCCTTTGATTAACTTCCATATTTCTGAAAATTTGGATTTTGGTAATTTATATCCATTTTCTCAATGCTTTTATGGAAAAGAGAACTTTTAGAGGTCCTTACTCTGACATTTTTCCTGATGCCTTAGCACTAAGTACTTCTTGAGATTTTATTTAAAGTAATCCAGTTACATTTTGTATGTGTAAACACTTGCTAGTTAATCCAAACTATATTACAGATTTTTGTTAATAATAATTCTGTTACGTAGTTTGTAAACTTTCACTCTTTCACTTTTTGCAGTAGTATCTACTGTGTTCCAGGCACAAGAGGAGGTGCAGAAATGGGAATCTTCATTTTGCACTTACTTTTTCTCTTCTCTTGATCAGAGTATTACCCAACTGCAGCAAATTGCTCTTTATGTTTAAAATGTGACTCATTTGTTATTCATTTATTTATTTATTCAATGACTCTTACTTGAACAATTATGGGCAAGTTGCTGGGAATTCATGAACGAACAAACAGACAAATTTTTACTTTATTTAATAAGCCCCATGAACACAAGGCCTCAAAAAAATTGAGTGAAAACTCAAGAGTTGTTCCTCTCCACGGTATTCTTTAGTAAAAGATGAAAGATTTATATGATCTGAAGGGAAACCAGAGTATAAGTTTTTACATTCTACACTGGAATCTGATCATAGCCAAAGAAATAATATGTTCCATAATCTGTAGTAATGATAAATGCTTTGATGAAAAATAGAGCAGATTAGGAGGATAGAGTGAGAGGTGTCCTATTTTAAACAGGTGGTCAGGGAATGCCTGTGTGAGGACATAATACTTGAACAGAGACCCAAATAAATGGGGGGTGGAATAGGATAAGCTATGCAGACAGCTAGCTGAAGAGATTCCCAGGAGAGGAAACATCAGATGTGTAGTCCTGGTTCTAATGTGCTTTTTGTGCATTTATATAGAACTTGTAGCATTAAAATCAGTTGTTTAAAATGTTTTTATAAAAAGTGATTTTTAAAAAATGTAGTTTTATAACTTTGGTTCAATTTGATAAGTTAGACTATATATTAAGATTTTGTTTATGTTTAGAGGGCAAGGGAGAGAGAATGGGGGAGAGAAGCATCAATTTGAGAGAGAAATGTCGATCGGTTGCCTATTTATTGTACACTCCCTGACCAAGGACAAACCCCCAACCAAGGCATGTGCCCTTACAGAGAATGAAATTGGTGACCTTTTGCTTTATGGGATGACATCCAACCAGCTAAGATTGGTCAGGGCTAGATTAGTTTTGTACCAATATCTAATTTTTTGTTTTAAAGTTAAATATAGATTAATGTCCTTTTTAAAAATATATTTTATTGATTATGCTATTACAGTTGTCCCAGTTTTTTCCCCTTTCCCCTCTCTGCCCAGTACACTCATTCCCTCTAGGAGTCCCCTCCTTAGTTTATGTCCATGGGTCACGCATCTTTGGCTTCTCTATACTATTCTTCACATCCCCCTGTCTATTTTGTACCTACCAATTTATGCTTCTAAATCCCTGCATCTTTTCCCCTATTCTCCCCCTTCCAGCTCATAACCCTCCATATGATCTCCGTATATATGATTCTGTTCCTTTCTAGTTTGCTTAATTTGTTTTTTATATTCAGTTGTCTATAGTTGTCAGTTTGGTGCCATTTTAATGTTCATAGTTTTGCTCTTTTTTTTTTTTTTTAATAAGTCCCTTTAACATTTCATATAATTATGGCTTGGTGATGATGAACTCTTTTACCTTTACCTTGTCAGGGAAGCACTTTTATCTGCCCTTCCATTCTAATGATAGCTTTGCTGGGTAGAGTAATCTAGGTTGTATGTAGATGCTTGCTTTTCATCACTTTGAATACTTCTTGCCAGTCCCTTCTTGCCTGCAAAGTTTCTTTAGAGAAATTGGCTGGCAGTCTTACAGGAACTCTTTTGCAGGGATCTCTCTTCTTTTCTCTTGCTGCTTTTAAGATTCTCTCTTTATCTTCAACCTTTGGCATTTTAATTATGATGTGCCTTGGTGTGGTCCTCTTTGGATCCAACTTGTTTGGGACTCTCTGTGCTTCCTGGACTTGTATGTCTGATTTCTTTGTCAAATTAGAGAAGGTTCTTTCATTATTTTTTCAAATAAGATTTCAATTTCTTGCTCTTCCTCTTCTCCTGGCACCCATGTGATTCAGATATTGGTAGGTTTGGTGATGTCCCAGAGGCTCTTTAGACTATGCTTGTTTTTTTAAAATTCTTTTTTCTTCTTGCTGTTTTGATTGAATGCTTTTTTTCTTCCTTATGATCCAAATCATTAGTTTGAATCTTGGCTTCATCCCCTCCACTGTTGGTTCCCTGTAGATTTTTCTTTATTTCACTTAATATAACCTTCATTTCTGCCTGGGTCTTTTTATACTGTTGCCATACTCAGTGATTTCTTTGAACATCCTGATAACCAGTGTTTTGATCTCTGCATTTGATAGATTGCTTATCTGTTTCATTTAGTTCTTCTTCTGGAGTTGTGTTCTGTTCTTTCATTTGAGCTGTATTTCTTTGTCTCCTCAATTTAGCAGCCTCCCTGTGTTTGTTTCTGTGTTCTAGAAAGAGCTGTTTTGACTTCCTGTATTAGTAGAGCGTGGCCTGTTATAGAAAAGGCACCTGTAAATTGTGTGGAGCAGAGCTTTTGGTAACCACCAGGGTGGGACAACCCGTTTCACTGCTTTCTGGCTCTGTGCAGGTATAGGGTTCAGAGGAGGGACAGTGCCGCTGCCTGGCTTCTGGAGGTTTATTCATCCCAGCATTTACCTTGTTTCTAGTCACTTCAGTTTCTCCCCCTATGCCACTGGTGCCCATCTAGCTGTTGCCCTGGTAGTGAATCCCAGAGAGGGTGAGTCTGTGTATGTCCTAAGTCTGTATGGGCTTTCTAAGAGGAGTCTTCTGAAAATCTGGCAGTTTCTTTCGCCACCCCAAGCCCCACTGGTGCTTACAGCCAGAAGTTATGGGGATTTATCTTCCTGGCACTGGAACCCTGGGCTGTGTGGCCTGGCCTGGGGCTGACACTCCATGCTCCCAAGGCATCCCTCCCAATTTTTATCCACCGCACATGAATATGGCACCTCCCATTCTGCTGCTTCTCCGTGCCACACTGTCTCTGCACCTCTCCGCCCGTCTGCAAATCTCCACCCCTGCTCCCTGTCCGGATGAATTTGGTTTCTTGAAATCGTTGGTTGTCAGACTGCCACATGGTTTGATTTTCTGACAGTTCTAGGTGATATTTTTTTCTACGGTCTAGTTGTAATTTTTTCTGTAGTTGTGCAAGGCGGCACAGTGTCTTTATGTACGCCTCCATCTTGACCAGAAGTCAGATTAATGTCCTTATAAATATGATAAATATAGCTTGAAGATTTTTATATTTAATTGAAATATATTGTAATTATTGTTTACATAAATGTATGTAAGTTTTTGTATCATATGGAATTTTAATTCGTTTTCTTGTGTGTGTATCTCAATAAAGGTTTAATGTTGATACCTGTCAACTCGCTTTTTCTCTTCCTTCTTTTTGCAAAATTACTTCCTTTCCTATCTTCTTTCTCTTACTTTCCTTTTTCCCTCCTCTTTTCTTTCCTTTCTATCTGTTCCCACTCCTGCCTTCCTATTCTAGCTTTATCCCTACTTTTTCTGCTCCCATCCCCTCCCATTTCCTCCCTCCCATCCCCTTCCCCTACTTCTTTCCTCACCATCTCTTTATAATTTTTGTCCCTTTCTCTTTCCTTCCTTTCCTTTCTTTCCTTCCTCCCTTCCTCTTCTAATTCATTCTTTTAATTTCCCCTGTTATTCCCCCAATTCCCTTTAAACATTAATACTAAAATAGCTTCATAATTGGCCTCTTAATCTCCTAATTAATCAGCCACTGCCATATTTTAATCTTCCTAATGCACAATTCTGATCAGATCACTACTGTCTGCTGAAAAGCTTTCTGTGAATGGTTGCCTTTTGTCTACTAGTTTAATTACATAGTCTTTAATGCCTCTTTGATTATAGCACCAGTCTGCTTCTTGAGTTCAATTAAACTCCATTAGACTCCTTAAGCTCCAGCAGAAGTGGTTTATTTAAAGTTTTAGAAACACATTCCTTGTTCTTTTTCATGTCTTTTCTCCTATTAGTTCCTTTGCCTGGAATACTTACTTAGACTCCTTTTTTTGCCCATTGGAAACTTGTCATCCTTGAAGGTTCATTTAGATGCCATCTTTTCTTCTTTTTTGTTGTTGTTATCTGTGAGTAGCTCCTCTTCCCCTCCTCCAGATTATAAGCCCCTCAAGATCAGGATCTTCGTCTTGGAATTATGTGAATTTTTAACATAGTACCGTGTAGTGGTAAATATTTGGCATATTTAATTAGTGTGCAGGAAGTTCTTTCATTTACCGAAATTTCTATTTTCTTGACCCTAGTTAAAGAAGAGAGTAAGAGTCCCAAAACTGAGAGTCGGTCACAAAAAATGTCAAGTAACCAGGTAAGCTAAGTATAGAAATGCTTAGGAATCAACTTTTTATTGCAATTGGTGGCTTTGTGGCATCAGACTGAATTTTACAGCCCTTGCAATCAAATTCATAAGGTATGTGGCAAGAGGATGCTAAAGTGTAGCCTGAGAGTCATTTGGATGCATGGTTGCACAGCTAGAGTCCAGGATTTGGAACTTGACATACCTGAAACCCTAATTCTTTTGTTTGATAATTGGGTGGCCTGGAGCAATTCACTACATTTTTCAGCCTCAAGGTCTTCATCTTTAAAATGGAAATAAAAATAGATTACTTGTCTCTCTCAATATATATCTTCCATATATACACATATGACTATACCTATGTACATAACTGTATATATGTAAGTACAGAAATGTTTATATATGGTGCAAGTATGTGAATCAGCACTGTAAATATAATGGTTAATTCCTTGGAATTAGGTTGCAGGGGGAAGCTGTAATTTATGTTTTATTATATTTAGCCTTTGCTGTTTGATAAGAAGTATGATCAAACTGTAACAAATTTTAATCTAAAAAAATCAGCATGTATCCTTTTCATGTGTATGTGTTTGTATGTATATTTTAATGCAGAGTTTGAAAAGATTAGATCTCTTATAACTAGTAATATATTAAATGTATAAAAGATGTCTTAGCAGAGTATTTGGCATGTAACACGTTCTCAATAAATAGAATCCATTAATATTTATTTTTTTCTATTTTTTAATTATATTTTATTGATTATGCCATTACAGTTTTTTGTACTTCCCTCCTCTCCCCTCAGCACCCCCACTCCCTCAGGCAGTCCCCACACCATTGTTCACTTCCATGGGTCATACATATAAGCTCTTTGGCTCCTCCATTTCCTATGTTGTACTTTACATCCCCATGGCTATTCTGTAACTATCTTTTTGTACTTCTTTATCCCCTCACCTCTTCATCCATTCTCCTCACCACCCCCTCACACCTCCATATCCATAAAAACACCATAAAAACACTCTCCATATCCGTGATTCTATCTCTGTTCTTCTTGTTTGCTTAGTTTGTTTTTTAGATTGAATTGTTGATAGATATGTATTTATTGCCATTTTATTGTTCATAGTTTTGGTCTTCTTTTTCTTGAGTAAGTCCCTTTAACATTTCATATAATAATGGTTTGGTGATGATGAACTCGTTTAGTTCTTCTTGTCTGAGAATCTCATTATCTGGCCTTCAATTCTAAATGATACCTTTGCTGGACAGAACAATCTTGGCTGTAGGTTCCTGCTTTTCATGACTTTGAATATTTCTTGCCAATCCCTTCTAGCCTGCAAAGTTGTGAGAAATCAGCTGACAGTCTTATGGGAACTCCCCTGTAGGTAACTAACTGATTTTAAGATTCTCTCTTTATCTTTAACCTTTGGCATTTTAATTATGATGTGTCTTGGTGTGAGCTTCTTCACATCAATTTGTTTGGAACTCTTTTTGCTTCCTCGTCTTGCATGTCTATTTCTTTCACCAAATTAGGGAAGTTTTCTTTCATTATTTTTTTCAAATAGATTTCCAGTTTCTTGTTCTTTCTCTTCTTCTGGCACCCCTATGATACAAATGTTGGAATGCTTAAAGTTGTCCCAGAGGCTGCTTATGCTGTCCTTGTTTTTTTTTATTCTTCTTCTTCTTTTGATTGGTTGTGTTTTGATTCCTTATGTTCCATATCATTGATTTGATTCTTGGCTTTATCCACTCTACTGTTGTTTCCCTGTGAATTGTTCTTTGTTTCAGTTAGTGTATCCTTTGTTTCTGAGTGGATCTTTTTTATGTTCTTGATGTCCTCACTAATTTCCTTGAGCATCCTTACAACTAGAGTTTTGAACTCTGCTTCTGATAGATTGCTTATCTCCATTGAGTTTGGCTCTTTTTCTGGAGTTTTGATCTGTTCGTTCATTTGGGCTATGTTTCTTTGTCTCCTCATTTTGGCAGCCTCCTTATGTTTATTTCTATGTATCAGGTACAGCTGTAATGATTCCATGTCTTAGTAGTGTGCCCTAATGTAGTAGTTGTCCTGTAGGGTCCAGTGGCACAGCCTCCCCTATTACCCAAGCTGGTGTCATGAGTACACCTTTCTCTTGCAGTGGAGCCTTGATTGCTGTTGGCAGGTCAGTGAGAGGGATTTAGCCAGGCCAGGCAGCTGCAAGGACTGGCTATGACCACTGACCACCAACCTGTGGAAGATCCACTGTAGAGAGGAAGGGTGGTGGTGCTTTGACGTGGTCTGTAGCTATCCACTGGGTGCACAGGCTCTGGCTTTTTGGGGTGGTACAGGCCATGGTCTGCCCCCATCTGTGTTCTCCCTAGCGTCACCCTGCATGAGCTACAAGGCAATCTGAGGTGGCTCCTACTTGTGCTGGGCTTGGAATTCCCAGGCAAAGCCAAGCTGCGATTCTAGGCTAGTTGTTGCTAGTGCTGGACCTGCAGTCGCTTACCAAGAGGTATTGGGACTGGTGGCCCACTGAGGCTGGCTGCTGCTTGTTTGATAGGATTTAGGAAATTGTAAAGCATGAGCCAAGATTAGCCATTCATATGAAAAAGTTCCTGTTAACAGCTAGTGGGCCTGTGAGTCGCATGGGATGGAGTGTTGGGATCTGCATGTTGGGGCAAACAGTGTTAGGTTTATATAGTCTCTGATATGGCACCAGCCTGCCAGCTCTGTGGCTCTGTGCGTGGGAGGGTTCAGAAAAGGGACAGTGGCCTCGGCCTGCTTTTCTGCCCGGGAGAAAGAGCTGTCCCCTAGCTCTTGCCTTATCTCACACACTTCAGTTCCTCTCTGTAGACCCCTGGTCCCTTTCAAGCTGCTACCCCAGTGCTGGATCTCAGAGGAAGTGAGCCTGAGTAACCCTGTGTGTAGGTTCTTTAAGAGCAACTGCTTAGGACTCCAGAAGTTTCTTCCAATGACTGAATCCTTGCTGGTTTCCGCAGCCAGAAGTTGTGGGGAATTATCTCCTGGGCCCTGGAACCCTGGGCTGGAGGGCCTGGTGTTTGCCTGGGACTTCTCACTCCTGAGATTTCCTTCCCGAATTTTATCCACCCATTGTGGATGTGGGACCTGTCTTTTCCCCGTTTCTGCCCCTCCTGCCAGTCTGGATGGATGTGGTTTCTTTAATTCCATAGTTGTCAGACTTCAATTCATCTAGATTTCTGACAGTTCTGAGTGATGGTGGTTCTGTAGTTTAATTGTAATTTTGAAGTGGTTCTGTGAGGACGCGAGCCGTGTTTACCTGTGCCGCCATCCTGACTGGAAGTTGTATCCATTAATATTAGATATCAATAAAATGGTTGAATTATATGACATTTAAGGCCCTCTTCTGCAACTCTTGTACTATGATTTTCTTCATGTTATGGACCTCCTTGGTGAAGCCTATGGACTCTTTCTCAGAATAATGATTTAATGCTAAAGTAAGGTACATAATATGTGAACAAAAACCAAATATACTGAAATAGGATTGGAATCACCCCTGTTGTGGCTTACTACCTATTTTCATAATGTAAAGGAATCCTGAATTCTTATTCAGAAATTAATGTATGTAAATATGTAATTTTTTTCCACATCCAATTTTATAGGCTGTCCTTTTTTCTTATGATATAAATGGGAGAATATCACACTTAAAAAGTTTATAGAAATTTATTTAGAACACTATTAAGTAGTAATTATAAATTTTATTTGCCCAGAAAACTCCTTTGTACTCTTGTTGTAGATGTTTGGACGGCCTGACAAATGTAATACTAAGCTACTAAAGAGAAATGAAAGTATGGAAGTGTCAGAAAATCAGAAAGTTGGGGCTGGTTATCCAAATGCTGTTGATAAGGTAAATGAACATTCATTCATTTGGTTTTTCCACAGTTTAATACCTGGTTACATGATGGGTGAAAATTAAAAATCATTTTTGTACATAGAAGTCTTAGCTTTTTCTTTGTCCTTGTACTTTCATCTTCATGCATAAAATGTTATTCTTTTAGCCTAACACTGGATTTGAGAACTTTTTAGCATCTTTGAATATCTCCAAAGAACATGAAGTACAGTCATCTCATCATGAAGAGCCTCCAAGTGAAGAGCATTTGTCACCACAGTCATTTGCTATGGTTTGTATTTTGTTGGAGCTTTTGTACTATGGTAATTTCATTGTTGTTGACCATGAATACACATCCCATGCAACTATTAAAACACTTCTCTATCACGTAGACTAGTGTGCTAATCTTTATTGTCACCCTGTGAGAAATACCAAGCCATTTTTTCTCTTTTCTCTTTGGACCATACGTAGCTCCCATACTTTTCAAGCATTGCTACTAGGGCAATTTGGTCAAAAGTTAAGTAGTAACTATAAACTTTTTTTTTCTTTTTGCAAAAAAGCTCACCTGTACAAAATGTTGGGGGCTTTTTTCCCCTCTAGGCTACTGATTTTTCCTATTCTCTATCTGAATATAGTTACTGTTTTAATTTTTAACAATGTAACTCATTAAAAGAAGGATCAGTAAGCTCTGTAATTCTGTTAACTTTTCTCCCCTTTCCCCATCATCTCCATACCATTTTCAAAACAGAAGGGAACACGGATGCTTAAAGAAATTCTAAAAATTGATGTCTCTGACCCTCTGGACCATAAGAATGAAATGAAGCAGTTTGGTAATGAAGTCACTGTTTCCTCTAATAGAAGAGATGAATATGTACCTTCCTCACAGCCTAAACAAAATAAGAAATTAAGTAAGTAAAAACTAAGTGCAACAACTACTAATATCATTTCAAAAATTCAGTTTTTTTATCATGTGTCTTTTAGAGATGAAACTACTGGTGTTTTGTTGGGTTTTTTTTACCTTATTGTTACCGTTTACACTATTAGAGATGTCCCCACTTTCTCCCTCCATTGCCCACCTCCATCCCACTCTCGCCCATACTTCCCTGTGTCCATCACCACACACTGTTGTCTGTGTCTGTGGGTTATGCATATATGTTCTTTGGCTAATCCCTTCACCTTCTTTCATCCAGTCCTCCCCCTTCCTCTGCCTCTCCTCTGACAGCTGTCAGTCTCTTCTGTGTATCTATGGTTTCTATTTTACTTCTCAGTTTATTTTGTTCATTAGATTCCACATATAAGTGAGATCATGGGGTGTTTGTCTTTCACCAACTGGCTTATTTCATTTAGCATAATAATCTTCGGGTCCATCCATGTTGTTACAAAAGCTAAGAGTTCCTTCTTTTTTATGGTCACATTGTATTCCATTGTGTAAATATACCACAGCTTTTTATCCACTCATCTACTAATGGGGCCTGGGGCTGTTTCCAGATCTTGGCTATTGTAAATAATGCCACTACTAACATAGGGGTGCATATATTCCTTCTGATTGGTGTTTTGGGATTCTTAGGATATAGTCCCAAAAGTGGGATCACTGGGTCAAAAGGCTGTTCCATTTTTAATTTTTTTGAGGAAATGACGTACTGTTTTTCACAGTGTTTGCACCAATCTGCATTCCCACCAACAGTGCAGGAGGATTTCCTTTCTCCACATCCTTGCCAACACTTGTTGTTTGTTGATTTATTGATGGCAGTCATTCTGGTAGGTGTGAGGTGATCTCATTGTGGTTTTAATTTACATCTCTCTAATGATCAGTGACGTTGATCATTTTTCCATATGTCTATTGGCCATTGGTATGTCCTCTTCGGCGAATTGTCTATTCAGGTCCTTTGCCCTTTTTTAGATTGGATTGTCTATCTTCCTGATGTTGAGTTATATAAGTTCTTTATATATTTTGGAAATGAACCTCTTTTAGATGTAGCATTTTCAAATATGTTCTCCCATACTGGGGAATCCCTTTCCATTGTGTTGATGGTTTCTTCTTTCTGCTCAGCAGAAGCATTTTAGTTTGATATAGTCCCATTTGTTTTTTGGGGTTTTTTTTCCCCCTGGCAAGAGAAGATATATCAAAAAAAATATTGCTACAAAAAACGTTTGAGATTTTACTGCCTGTTTTCTTCTAGGATGTTTATGGTTTCACAACCTACATTTAAGTCTTTCATCCATTTTGAGTTTATTCTTGTATAAGTTGGTGGTCTAGTTTTATTTTTTGCACATACATGTCCAGTTTTCCAAACATCATTTATTAAAGAGGCTGTCTTTATTTTATGCTTTTGACTCCTTTGCCAAGTATTAGTTGACCATATCAATTAACTTGGGTTGATTTCTGTTCTCTTCCATTGATCTACATGCCTGTTCTTATATCAGTGCCAGGCTGTTTTGACTATACTGGCCGTGCAGTATAGTTTAATATCAAGTATTATGATCCTTCCAACTTTGTTCTTTTTTCTCAAGATTGCTAAGGCTACTTGGGGAATTTTCTGGTTCCATATACATTTTTGGAATATTTGTTCTAGATCTGTGGAATGTGCCATTGGTATTTTAATAGAAATTGCATTGAATCTAGATTGCTTCAGCTGGTATGGACATTTTAATTATGTTAATTTTCTAATCCATGAACACAATATATGCTTCCACTTACTCGTATTTTCCTCAGTTTCTTTCTTCAGTGTCCTATAGTTTTCTGAATACAGGTCTTTTACCTCCTTGGTTAAATTTATTTCTCTGTACCTTTTTGTTGTTACTGTTGTTGTTGTTGTTGTTGTTGTTGTTGTTACAATAGTAAATGGAATTCTTTTATTAGTGCCTCTTTCTGATAATTCATTATTGGTATATAAAAATGCCACTGATTTCTGAATATTAATTTTGTATTTTGCTATTTCACCAAATTGATTTATTAGATCTGTTAGTTTTTTGCTGGAGTCTCTAGGGTTTCCTATGTGCAATATCATGTCTTCTATGAATGACAATTTTACTTCTTCCCTTCCAATTTGTACACCCTTTATTTCTTCTTGTCTGATCGCTGTGGCTGGGATTTCTGGTACTATGGTGAATAAGAGTAATAAAAGTGGACAGGCCTGTCTTGTTCCTGGTCTCAAGGGAAACACTTTCGGTTTTTACCCATTGAGTATGATGCTGGCTGTAGGTTTTTCTTATATGGCTTTTATTATGTTGAGGTATGATCCCTCTATTCCTACTTTCTGAGAGCTTTTATCATAAATTGGTGCTGGATTTTATCAAACTCTTTTTTCTGCGTCTATTGATCACATTATTTTTGTCTTTTCATTTTTACATGATATATCACATTTATTGGTTTTTGGGTATAGTGTACCAGTCTGCTTCCCCGGAATAAATGCCAGTTTATCATGATCTTTTTAAGATATTGCTGGATCCGCTTTACTAATTTTGTTGAGGATTTTAGCATGTATATTCATCAGCGACTTTGTCCTGTAATTTTCTTTTTTCCTAGTGTCTTTATTTGGTTTTGGAATTAGGATAATGCTAGCCTTGTAAAAAGAGTTAGGAATTCTTCTATCCTCTTGAATTTTTTTGGACTGGTTTGAGAAGAATAGGTGTTTGGTAAAATTTGCCTGTGAAGCCATCTGTTCCAGGACTTTTGTTTGCTGGAAGTTTTTTTATTACTGCTTCAATTTCATCAGTTGTAATCTGTCTATTCAGGTTTTCTGATTCTTCCTGATTCTGTTCTAGAAGATTGTATGTTTCTAGGATTTATCCATTTCATCCAGGTTGTCCAATTTGTTGGCATGTAGTTGCTCATAGTATTTTCTTACAGTCCTTTGTATTTCTGTGCTGTCAGTTTTTACTTCTGCTCTTTCATTTCTGATTGTATTTGTTTGGGTTCTCCCTTTTATTCTTGATGAGTCGGTTGAAGGGTAGTCAGTCTTATCTTTTCAAAGAATCAGCTCATTGTTCCACTGATCTTTTGTATTGTTCTTTTAGTTCCTGTGACATTTATATCTGCCTTGATCTTTATAATTTCCTTCCTTCTACTCATTCTAGGCTTTATTTCTTGTTCTGTTTCTAGTTCTTTCAAGTATAGGCATAGATTCTTTACTTGAGTTTTTTCTTGCCTATTGAGATAGGGCTATAATGCTATGAACTTCCCTCTCAGTACTGCTTTCACTGTGTCCCACAGATTTTGGGTTGTTGTTTGTTCAGTTTATTTATTTCCAGGTAATTTTTGATTTCTTCCTTGTTCTCACTGATTACTCATTCATTTTTTTAATAACATACTATTTAGCCTCCATGTGTTTGAATGTTTTTGAGTTTTTTTCATTGTTGTTGATTTCTAGTTTCGTGCCATTGAAATCTGAGAAGATGATATGATTTTAATCTTCTTGAATTTGTTAAGACTTACTTTGTGTCCCTACATGTGGTCTCTCTTTGAGACTGTTCCATGTGCACTTGAGAAGAATGTATATTCTGCTACTTTGGAATGAAATGTTCTTTAAATATCAATTAAAGCTATCCAATCCAGCATGTCATTTAAGGTCACTGTGTCCTTGTTGGCTTTTTGTCTGGAAGATCTATACATTGATGACAATGAGGTGTTACAATCCCCTACTATGATTGTATTGCTGTCGATCTGTCCCTTAAAACCCTACTGTTATTTTTTAAAGACTATAATTAAAAGTAACAAATAGGAATGTGATTTTTATGTTTTTGTCATTTGTATATTAACTCTGTAACCAATAGGTGTATAGTTCCTAAATGTCTTCTTGTGAGTACTTTAATTGTACTATTACAGATACTCATTCTGTAGATCCCAAACTTGGAAAGCTTTTCACATTTTAGCTTTTTTCCCCCAGTAATTTAAAAATGATTGTGTAACTCAAATATATCACTTAACTTTTCTGAACTTCTTTTTTCCTGTTTACAAAATGAAAATAAAATTTCAGATGACTGTTTTGATAATTATATGACACCTATAAAACTGTTAAAACTGTATCTAGCACATTGTAGGTTTCAAAAATTAATATTAGCATTATGTTAAAGTAACTTGACCAACATAAAAATAAAAGAACTATAAAATCAATTAAAAATAATTAATGTAAGCAGGCATTGGAAATTGGGTGCTTACCTGAAATCTCTGAAGTGTATATGGCACAACATCTGACACATACCTGGATTTCAGTAAATATCTATCATTGCCCCTACTCTGTATGTCCCCTATATTTTAGTATTTTTTCTATATCATTGTCTGCAAAAGGCTACCTGGAAGAATCAATAATTGAAAAGTAGATGGGGACAGAAGTTTCTCAGAGAGGTAAAAAACATTTGAAATAAGCAGATCTGTTTATTAAGGGGCAGAATATGAAACAAAATTGGAGCCTTCCTCCATTTATACTCCATATATTTTTGGGAAATTGGGATAAATAATTAAGTAAAAGTTTCAGTAACTGTTAGGAAACTCATTACCATAGTGACACACGTGCTCTTGAAATAGGACAAATTAAAAACTTAAAACAAAATTGGATAGAGATGGTTCCACTGTCAAAAACAAGTAACTTCTACTCTATCTCAGCATAGTGAAAAAAAAATTATACACCTTAGAGTCAAGAACTGAGAATCCAGCCCATGTTGCAGAACTAATGAGATCTATGGCTCTGCCAGTTAACCTTTTCTTAGTCTAAAATGGTAAGAAGGTTAGATTGATACTTCCATGGGGTATGCTCTTGTTCTATTCGTGAGTTAATTGATCATGAAAAATGTGAACTGTAAGAACTTTTAAATCATTTTCTGTATGAAAGCACTTTAAAGACTTAATTTCAGAAAAAAATTAAGAAGCATCATGTGGAGCAACAAAATCATTCATTTAATGTGTCTCAGAATATAAGATGAAATTTTGAGAAATTTTGAGGCAAGAGCCTCAAAACTTAAGAATTAATTGTATATCACTTCAAGAGAGCCATTTCTTGTTTAAATTTTGCCTGTAACATAACTTTGTAATCATTAATGGCTCAAGATGTTCATTTTTGCCTATCAGCTATTTATTGTATTTTAAAACCTTTATATTAATCACATATCATTAATTTCAATCACCTAAAAATCTTTATCGAATTCTTAGTTATTTTATGCAGCACTAAATCGTTATATTTGCTTCTTAGGAGATTCCTTTTTTCACCTTTTAACAATTGTTTGCTTGTATTTTATGAAACCCTGTAATTACATAGTTTGAGATATCATTTAATAAGTGCCCTGTTCTCTTTTTTGGTAGCATCTTATATAAACAAGCCTCACAGTGCTAGTGAGTACCATCATGTTCGGTCTATAGACAATGTGTGTTGGCCTGCTTCCAGCCAGGTTCCTCCTATGTCCACACCCATAACTGAACTTTCTAGAATTTGTTCCCTTGTTGGAATGCCACCACCAGATTTCTCCTTTCTTAGAACATCACAGGTATAGTATACTGATGTTTCATTTATAGAAGTTCTTTAACACTAAGCTTAAGTAAATTGATGAAAGTCTTTGCCTAGAAAATGTCTAATGGGGCTGACTTTTTTTTTCTACTTTATCATCAATATATCCATAGCTTCTCACTCTAGCTGTTCCCTGTATGCAGAACCAGAGCCCTGAGAGAGCCTGACAGAGGAACCTAGGCAGAAGGGAGCCTGGCAACATTCTTTAGATGATAGAACTAGGGATTTTGGTTTCAAGTATCTTGGTCCAAACTTTCTGATCTTAGAAACGCCCCACTTTTGTGGGGGCGGGGGGGCAAAGAACTTTTGTTTACCTGTGTTATGTGCATATTTACCATATTAGAAATTAAAAATGTTTAAAAATAAGTTTTCCAAAAAAATTAGTAAGAGGCCTTGCTTTACATTTTTGCAAATCTTTTCCCTGGCTAGCTTAATAGAAGCTAGATTTTCATACCTTCTTTTACTATCAGTCTCTTGTGATATGTAGTTTTGGTTGAAATATGTGAAGAAAATGTGGCCTCACATAGTAGATAGCTGAAAAGGGGAGAGAATTTTAATAGCCTTTTCATATAATTGTGGATATTCTTTGATGTTACAGTAAAACATTGTGTTTTCTTAAAAGCTTGTTGCAATGTAGAATTAGAAACTATATCAGTGAAGTTTTTGTTCTCCATATACTTGCGAAAATTAGAGTAAAAGGGCGAATAGCATCTTAATACTGTTGTGAAAATAGTTTTGACCCAGGGACCTCTAGAAACGGTCTCAGGGTCCTCAGACTGCACCTTGAGTGCCGCTAGCTACAAGAACGGTTGTTTTATTCTTTTTATATATAAGTTCTTAGTGCATTGTTGCCTAAAACAGAAAGCAGAATTAAACTCTGCTGCCTTTTGAAACAGTAGTTTTTTAACCTAAATAATACGTGAATATATTAAATATTTCTCAAGATTTAAATAAAAAAATAAAAAAATAAAAGAGAATTCTTTTAAAAAGAAAAGTGGTGTAATGTAAAGAGTTATAATTTAAATGTGAATATAAAATCAGTACCTCTGAGCCTTAGATTTTGGTAATTAATTCATATTAGCTAAATATTGTCTCTTTGGAGGATGGGGTAATGCAGGGGTCAGCAAGTTTTTTCTGTAAAGGTCCAGACAGTAAGTATTTTAGGCTTTGCAGGCCATGTGGTCTATATCACAACTATTCAACTCTGCAATTATAGTATAAAAACAACCACAGATGATCCATTAAAGAATGGACTCAGCTGTGTTCCAATAAAACCTTATTTGCAAAAGCAAGTAGAAGTCCTGGTTTCCCAACCCTTGGTATGAAGAAAACAGTTTTGCTGGCTTTCATTTGCATTAACATGCTTGACCCTTCGGCTACGTTACAAAGCATTTTATTTTGTAAACATTGGGCGATAAGGCAAAAATTTTAAAGTTTTTGCATGCTAACCCAAAAATTAAGTAGTCCTCTTCTGAATTCTTGAATTTTTTTATTTTTTTATTTTTTACAGAATGTCAGGTGAAATTATTCTACTCGTTTAAACTAAGATTTGGGGGAGAAAGTTGGCTTCCTAGATAGATAACTTCATAGACATTCACATTCTCTCTTCTAGACAATGACAGTTTGCCAAGTAAAATTATCTAATGGCTTACTGGTACGTGGGCCACAGTGCCATTCTGAAAATGAAGCCAAGGAAAAAGCTGCACTTTTTGCTTTACAGCAGTTGGTAAGAACTGTTATGATTTCCTGTCATAAATTTTTAATTAATTCCTATAGATATTTTTGTTGCACTTTTTTAATAACTTTTAAATGCTTCCATAGGGCTCCTTAGGAATGAGTTTCCCTTTGCCTCCACCAATATTTGCAAATTACCCTCCTGCTGTACCACCTGGAACCATTCCTCCAGTTTTTCCCCAACCTACTGGTAAGATATTTTGCTCTTCTAAATATTTGTTATTGAGTTACTATTTTTAGAAAGCTCTTTTAAGATGCATCGATTTGAATAAAAAAAAATTAGGTATTTAGGGAATGTAATAAATCATAGTGAGACGTTAACCTGAAACCAGAGGCTGCAGATTCGTCTAGCAACATCCTTTTCCTCCTCCAGACTCTAGTGTGGGTAAAATAGGATGGTACTTTGTTCTGGGTAGCCCCATAGTCCCTAATAGCTGCCAAGAGATGGATTTGGGTTTAAGTTAGACATTAAAAACAAAGATGGGGAGGCCTTCTTGTGTGGCTCAGTTGGAGCTTTGTCCCATAAATCAAAAGGTCGCCGGGTTGGATTCCTGGTCAGGGCACATGCCTAGGTTGTGGGTTCTGTCCCCTGTCGGTTGCATATGGGGGTGGGGAATCCAGTGGATGTTTCTGTCTCACATCAATGTTTTTCTCTCTCCCTTCCCCTCTCTCTAAAAACAATGAAAAAGTGTCCATGGGTGAGGATTAGAAAACACACACACGTCAGGAGAAGACAGGTGAAGGAAATGAAAACAGGTCAGGCTTCGAAACTGTGGCTATAAAAGACACTGTCCTTGATGATGAGGGAGATGAAAAGTGGGGGGCAGTTAAGCTTTCTGGTGTGTTTCTTCATATTCTCTCATAATGGTCTGCCTCCTTCAAATGTCAGTGCCCAAGTTATCAAGCTGGTAGCTCCGTGCTTCCTGTGGCCATTTAGTGACTTCCTCATGTAACTTCTTTGGGACTCCATTTTCTAATTTATGCTGGATTTGTCTAAGATCTCTTTGAGACTAACATTATGTAATTTCATGATTCTAAGTCTTAAGTTCATTGAACACTTTTTTTTATTCCTCACCTGAGAATATATTTATTAATTTTAGAGAGAGAGGAGGGGAGGGAGAGAGGGAAAAACATCTATCAGTTGCCTCCGCTACACCCCAAACTGGGAGTCAAACCCACAACCTAGGCACATGCCCTGACTAGGAATTGAACACTCGACCTTCCAGTTTACAGGATGACACTCCAACCAACTGAGCTACCCAGCCAAGGCTAAAATTTATTTTATCATTAGAAATGATAAACATTGACCATTTGTCACTTCTTTTAACAGTATATTTGGAAAACCTTTTGTTTTCCTGACAGTTGGCTTCTTCATATCCTAATTATCATTTTAAAACCAATACCTTGTTTGTTTCAAGTTTAGAAAATTACTTTTTTGAGTCTGCTATATGCCTGGTATTATTCCAGTTCTCCATATCTGATCCTTACTATAAACATTAGAGAAATTAATAATGCTGAATAAACAAGTTATCTCTTCTTTTTGCCTAAACTAAAAAACAAATTATTTTTAAAGCGTAACCTAGAATCACAACAAGATGAGAGAAGAAATATCAGCAAATTAAAGATTCGAAAGGAGTTTGTGATAAGAAAAACAGTTAAAAGTGTAGTAACCAATTTAGCATAGCAGAGTTAAGCTGTTGAGTTGGCCAAAAAGTTCATTTGGTTTTTCTGTAAGATGGCTCTGGGAACCCTTAGTTGTCTTTAACTTCATTCAGAAACAGTTTTGTTAGATTGTATTGTGACAGCTGTCATATCAGTGTGCATGTAAAAAAACTTATAAGAAATGGTGAATTTTTGTGTAGCCACTTTAATATTGAAGATGAAAGAAGGCAAGCAACATTTTTGGGGTATTATGCTTTATTATTTCACAAAAGATAAAAACAACTGAAATGCAAAACATGATTTGTGCAGTGTATGAAGTAGGTACTGTGACTGATCAAATGTGGCAAGAGTGGTTTGTGAAGTTTCTTGGTGCTATTGACATTTTGGCCAAATAGTTCTTTGCTGTGGGGCTGTCTTGTGCTTTGGCAGATGTTTAGCAGCACGCCTGGCCTCTGTACCCACTAGAAGCCAATAGTGGTAGATAGCCAACATACTCAAAATGTCCAAATCAATAAAGTTGTTAGTGAAGATGAAAAACGTGCCTTTTATTTTACAGAAAATACTAAATGGACTTTTTGGCCAACTTAATACAAACTAAAGTGTCTGTAGAAGAGGATACAAATGAGCTGATGAGTAGATTGTCTCTCACAATTCCCATGAGATTTCAGAGCTTGGACTTTGTCAGAAGCTGCCAGAGCTTCCCATGAAGCCTGGGCTAGGAAGAGTGGGATGGGTTCAGAGTCTGTGTGGAATGATAGGACCCTCTCCCCCCTTCCCCGGATCCCATCCCCACACAGCCATGCAGTTGCCTCTCTAGGCAAAAGACTGGAGGTGTGTTCTCCAGAGGGCCCCCTAGATATGGGAACACTGGGCAGAGAGTAAAAAAAAAAAAGAAATATTAGGCTGAAAATGGAGTGTAAGGTAAATTTTGTTTTTCCCATCCTGTTTTCTGACTGTAGCCAGCCATATCCCAGATAGGAAGTTAGTTGGGGAATGGTTCTTGTGAGAAATTCACTGAACTCCAAAGAAAAGACCTACTGACTTTTGGAGAGTGTCCCAACCGCAAGTCTGGCTCACTACCCGATCATCCTAAAGAGAAGATCTCAAGTCATCTAGCCTAATCCCTTCCAACACAGACACTGCTTCTGATCACTGTTTAGTGTCTTGCTCTTTGAAAGAAATAAGAGACTAGACTGAGAGAGATCCTGAACACTTCAGGAAAAGAAAATACCTAAATTTAAAAGAGAACCCAAAACAAAGAAATGCAAGTGATCTGAAAATAGAGATAATGTAGGAAATGAGACTTCAAAGATAGTCTTAATTAATATTCTTAGTGAAATAAAATGGTATTTTACAACCGAAAAATAAAAACAATAATTTTTTTTAAAAAAAAACATAATTTGGAGAACAAGAATCAAATGTTGAGTTGCATTTTTAAAATTCAGCAAATTAAGTCCAAGCAAAGCCATGGAAATCTCAGGGAGAAGAAAAAATGTAGAAAATAAGAAAGAAGGGAGGTTTAGAGGGGCAGTGCATGGATCCAACACCCATCTAATTGGAGTTCCAGAAAAAGAGACCAGAGATCATGGAAAGGAGGACAAGTATCAAAGAAGAAAATAAGAAAACTTCCTGGACTAAAGGACATGCATCTCTAAATTGAAAGGACCACCAAATACTTAGTGCAATAAATGAAAAGAGACACAGATTGCCTAGAAACTCAAAGAGTACAAGTAATAAAGAGATAACCTAAAGGGGTCAGTGAGCAGGGGCAAATACGTTTAAAAGTTCAAGAATCAAAATGGTATTTTACTGTCTAACAGAAGGTCAAAGCTAGAAAGCAGTTGAGCACTAAATGCCTCCAAATCCTGAGGCAGGATCAGCTTCATCTGATTTTTCTGCATGAATCTTCGTAACATTGTGACTGCTACCAAAGTTGCCTGTATGTATTATCAAGACCTAATTTTCTAAATCTACATAGTTTTCTTCATCAGAATTTGGGCATTTATGATTCTCCTAATCCAAAAAGTTCTTAAGTGGCTAAATTGTACATAATTAGGTTATACTGTTGTACAGTTCTGGCGGCCTTTATCTCTCTCTGAAAAGAAGGTTTGAACATAGTACATGTCTTCTTCAGTGGAAGCATGCTGTTTAATACAGTAGTGCCCAAGTGTTGCACCGTTACTGACTGCATAATCACTTGTGGACCTTGTTAACAGTACAGATTCTGGGCCCGAGTGACTGGCTTGTTAGAGCTGACGCTTTGCCCAGGAATCTCTACTTGACAAGCTCCCCAGGTGATTGAATATACAACCTTAAATCAGGTTTGGAAACTCCTGATTCAATGTGCTTTTAATAAGAAACAAGATATAACTTTTTAAAATCCTTGAATTAAAAATATTAGAATAGTGAAAAGAAAGATTCTACATGTCATGAAAGTGATCACATTTGATGACGAGCTTTTGTTCTTTTTTTGTAGACTGGGAAAACCATGAAAGCAACTTAGCATTGGGGGCAGTTGAGATCCTTAAGAATTACTTCTTTGTGCCCTGTCTTTTCTCCCCAAAGGGACATTTCAATGACCCTTTTATGATTTTTTAAAATAGTATTACAAATACTCCTAAAACTCATATCAGTATATGTTATCCTTGGGCGTTGTAGGCCAGATAGCATAATGATAAGCTGACTTCTGTAAAATTGTTCCTAATCATAAGAGTGGCTTCTGAGGTTGAATGTTGTAAGCAAGATTTGTCATAAGGTAAGTATATGCCTCCTTGCCAAAGCTAAAAAACCAAGAACAGTAGCACAAGGAGGTCTTCAATATCAGGGATTTTATGAGACTGTTTTACTAAAAAAAATTTTCCATGATTTATAACAGCTAATATAATGCCTTCATCATCTCATCTCTTTGGCTCAATGCCATGGGGACCACCGGTGCCAGTTCCCGGAAAGCCCTTTCATCATACTCCGTATGCCGGGCCCGTGCCCACGGCTGGGGCAGCAGCAGGTGGTGTGCACAATCAGTTCATACCTCTACAGGTGAGACCTAGAGATAGAATTGTTAGGTTTTTAAGATAATTTTTTTAATGTTCAAAGACTATTGGTAAAAATGTGTTTATTTAAGAATTACTTATTCAGTGCCAACTAGAAGCCCACTACAGATCTGGGTGCTGAGCTTATATATTATGACCAATGGTGGGCGGTCTGACCTGGCCCCCACACTCTGAGTTTATGTTCTAATAAATAACAATCACAACAAGTAATGATAGCCTTCACTAGCACAAAGTGATTTAAAATCAGGCGTATGATTTTTTTATATTTAAGGTATGAAGAATTTTTAAATATTCATAACTAAATTTCTCTAATTCTAAAGTCTATTTGGAAACTTATAACTGGAAGTCACAAGTCAAGAGAGATCAACAAATATTAGCAGTGTGATTTATGGTATTTTTTGACTAGTTTTTTTTTTTTAGCCTACATTGTCAATTGATGATGCTTTTATTCCTTAAAGGTTACTAAAAAAAGGGTTGCAAACAAAAAGAACTTTGAGAATAAGGAGGCCCAAAGTCCTCAAGCCACCCCACTTCAGACTAGCCAGCCAGGGTCTTCCAGTGTCACCAAAGTGGTTCCACAGGAGAATTCATCAGCTTCCTTAAAGCCTTCTCAGATTACTCAGCCTACATCTTCCTGTCAAGTTGAAGCTGTCCCTCAAGGCCGTGGTATGTGTCACCATAAGTCAGCACCAAGCTCTTCTTCAAGAAGAAAATCAAGAAAACTGGCTGTCAATTTTGGCGTCGCTAAACCTTCTGAATGAATTTGGTACTTGGAATTAAATTAATTTCTTTCCCTTCCACCTGCCTTTTTAGAAATCCATATCTGTGTTTCATAAAAAAAAATTAGGATGTGCTATTTTAAAATAATGTTTCAATTGAAAATTTTTAATGTTTAAGTTGTCAGGCACTTTTCATGCTGTTTAAAAGACTATATCAAATTGTACATCTTAAATATGTGCAGTTTGCTTTACATTAATTATACCTCAATAAAGCTATTTTTAAAAAGACTAAATTAAATCCTGTGTTAAAATAATACAAGTGGACTAAGCATTAAGGCGTCCCACTCTAACTATTGGCCTCATCATTAGAAGCATCCTGAAGTACGAATTAGACAGCATATTGCAATAATAATAAATATTTTTACACTATCATTGAGGGATAATTAAATGGAGCATGGAAATTGGGCCTCAAGTATAATTTACTGAATGTATATTTTATTTTTCTTTTTAATGATGTAACAGAATTGTCAGGAGAATGGCTCTTACAAGTGTTTTCACTTATGTTCTGTTGTCTCTGAGGGTCCTCTAGACCTGCTGTGAAGTAATCACACTTGTGTTGGTGCTGCCAGTTTTGCTTGATTCTAAATTTTGTACCAAAGCAACTTTAGAATACTGATCAGAATACTTCATTTAAGTACTTAGAACTATAAATAGCAATCTAGATTTAAGCAACTAATTACAATTTTTTTTAGACTATTCAAGAACCAGCATTGGTAATTTCTAATAAAATTAAGTTTCAAAATTTACAGGGTACAATGATTACAAATTAATCTTAGAATAAAGTAGAAAATATTAATCATGTTAGTTTTAAAAAATTGCATTATTCTTTTGTAGAGCTAACTTAAACATCTATAAGAGCTCCATTGTTGGTCCATATGTAGTGCTTCCTGGGACTGACGAAATTCTAATTTTTTTAAAAAAATCCAAGATGTGCTATATATTAGAAGCACAATCACTTTATGATGTACATTATTTACATGACAAATGCCTCTCATTCTGTTTCCATATTTTTAGCTTTATACTGAACTGCTAAGTGACTGGCATTTCTGTCTTTGCATGTCATGTGTGGGTGTGTATTGTTCAAGCTGTGGCTCTTGAAATTATTTTAGGATCTTTGAAAATTTATCAGTGGTACCAAGGCCTAATGTATTTATTTACACACACACACTCTCTCTCTCTCTCTCTCTCTCTCTCTCTCTCTCTCTCTCTCTCGTCCTCAGCTTTTGTGATGTGCTTATATTTTTAAGGAAGTAAGTTATACTTTTTAAAAAGTTGGATATCACAATTTTTATATGGAGCTGCTCCTTATATATGATTACATTTAGCTCATTGGGAACTCTGCCAGGAGTCTTAGAGTAGGTCTATTTAAAAATGCTGGTATTGAACTAAATGGACACCTTTAACTGCTGATTTCAGAGCTTCTTTAGATGTTAATAGGATATCTGTATATTAGTAGTGCCTTTAGTGTAAGAGATAAATGTTCATTGTCTGTCATTTGTTACAGTCATGTGAGTTTCTGTGATATTTTCTGTTTGTGAATATTCACATGTTTATCAGTTTCCTTCCTTGTTGGGAATGTGTCTTTATCTCTAGTGGGAACTTGAGTAATAAGGCTCAAGTAATTCTCACTGTTTGTCCTTATTGCCTCACAAACTCTATTTGTTTTAAAAGGAAATATCTATTATGGGATTACAGTACAAATAGTTAAATACAGTAATATTCTGCTTAATGTGTGTAAGATTTTTCACCTTTATGTAACTGTACAAACTCCAGCAATCAGGAATTGCCTCACTCATCGCTTCTGTGTGACCACTCTATAAACAGTGTACAGCTCACATTTTTTCTTAGATTACAGAGGAAGGAACTCATGCTATCTGGAAACTCCCAAGAAAAATTTCAGTAAGCACGGTGCCACTTAACTCATAAGGATAGTTCCCTAGTATTTGAGCAGAGCAAGATGGCATCGTATATGGATAGACAGTAAAAGTGTTTTCTTCTTATTCCTCTTACTCTTTTTTTTAAACATATCATCTTACACGTCAAGATTAAAGAGATTGATTTAAACATCATGTAGACCAAAGTTGAAACATCTGAGACTCATTTGCATGAAAAATTGATTTTCCTCTATGTGCTCCTTGGTTTCAATTTAAGCCTTTTTTTTTTTTTTTTTTTTTTTAAGAACTAAATGATACAGAGATCTTTTTCTGCTTATTGAGGAAGGGATGAAAAAGTCCATGCAGCTTTTTTTGTTGTTTATTTCCTTTTCTCTGATAAGGTATTTGCTTTGGTTTTAGGCTTAAACTTCCAATCTTACCTAGATTCTTAGCTTTAAGAGGAAGGAACAGAGAGAAGGTGGCTAGAAGAGGGAAACCAATTAAATAAGATGTACCCAGTCACTGCATTTTCAGGTTATAACATATCTTATAGCTCAAGGAGATAGATAGTCTTCAATATCTGTTTCATTCACTCATTTTTAAATCATCTGTTCTGTTTGTATCAGCAAACCATACATTTTCATAGTGATTGTCTAATTTTCACCTGAAGATAAAACCATCCAGCTCTCCATTGTAGTTCTCCAATGCTTCATGTTGTGTTCAGAGCACTTTTTATAACAACTGTGTACATCAACATCCCAGCTTTTTGAGCTTGCTGTATTTCTTAGTACCATCTTGCTTCCAACTTGCATGTTTACTATAGAGGAGAATTAATTTATTTGAGAGAAATGACTGTGACAGGCATTCTCTACCTTTAAAAATAAATGAGTCACAGAAATTCCCTGATCATTTTTCCAGATATAGTGATGGTATCCAAACTGACAATGTTCTTTAAAGCTTACATTTGGTAAGCTTTGTCAGTGAAACAGTGTTTTTGGCGGGAGCTTCCTTTTTATGCAGGATAAAGCTTAAAATTCTGGAAATAAACATTGTGAAGTCTGAGATCTGGTTCATATTTCTCTCAGGCCCCACAACATTGAAATAGGCAGCCAACAGGGCCAGGCTGACCGGTGGGTGGAAGTGTCACTGTTGTGTGCTAAGTTAACAGCTTGGACATCACAATCATTCTTTTAGAGAAAGAGAAAAAAAATGTATAAAATAGTTTTAGTAGTTGAGAATTACCAGCAATCCAGAAGTAGTTTTGTGTGTGTTTGTGTGTTATGTCAGTGAGCCAACAGTAATGCCTTGCTTGGTCAGTGCATTTAGCTGTCTCAAGTGCAATTTGTGATGGAGACTCTGGTTTCCAATAGATAAAAGTTTTACATAAACTTGTAAAAATTTTTCCAACAGTACACCCATGACTGTTGGTTATTTCAGCAGTTGATATACTATTAAATTGCCCCAGCTGAATAAGTTTCTGTAGATGTTTTAGTAATTTGCAGCCAAATTCTTGTACCTTTTCTAATGAAATAATAAGAGTAAGAATTTGGGTCACAGTACATGATGAGTGTGCTGTATCATCAAAGTGTTCAACATTTTCTTCATTTAAACAATACAATTAAGTATAATTCATACAAATATATCTTAATTCCTTTCTTTTCTCACATAACTATTTTATAAGTAACTAGAATTTTTCATTAGATCTTATACAGAGCAGTATTTTATTAAAAATTCAAAAGGGAAGACTTTGTGCTCATTTTGTAGTTTTTTTAAAAAATCTTTACATTATCTGCAATTAAAGTGTTTTAAACTTGCATTGGGATGGACTTTGAACTTATTTTTGTGTTAAGTTGTTCATTTGTAGATTTATAGCATGAAGTTAGCCTCAAAATGTTGTGTGGAAGGGTTTTAAAATATAAGAATCACTGAAAGAGTTTAAATGTTATACATGTTAAATGCTATATGGATTTTAATTAAACACTTGAGAATGATTTCATAAGCTGTTTGTTCTTGTTATGTTTGCCTTAATATCAAAAGAAGAAACATTCACTAGCCACTTAAATCCCATATCCTTTCATACCTGTAGTTTGAATCTATGTAATTTAGCATAAACTGGCAAGCATGGTTGGTAGAAAAAGTCTGAATTATAGATTCAGATGGCCACTGTTCTGATGTTAGCTTTACTTCTTACTAGTTTTAAGTACGTCATTATCATATTAACATGGGCAAGTTTTGTAAGGTCTTAGTCCCAGTTTCTTTCTTTCTCCTAAAGGAAGAAAATGACACCCCTTTTGTTGTTAATATGTACTATGCACTAGGTGCATAGTAGGTGTACTACAAATGTTAGTAAATGAGAATTTATCACATGTGTATGCAGATCTATTACCTAGGTCTCAAACATGGAATCCTCTGGATGGTGCCAAATATCTCTATATGCATTTTCCACGGAGTTGCTCTCCAGTATCCACTTCATACAGAGGCCCCATGCTTCTGTTGGACATCTAAGGGGCTATTTTCTTTTCTTCTTCCTTTTTCCTGCCATGATCCCCTCTTTTCTACCATGCAGGGGAAGGTTCTTACAGAGCCACGTAGGAAGAGGCTTTAATTGCTACTCCTAAGACTGGGGAATTTACAAGAATAACATCTTGTTAATATTGGCCATGTCTCACAATATAACTGATGCATAACTTGGTATTTGTCCACCTTGATCCAGCAGAGGCATGTGGTCTAGGATTACCAATGGAGTCTTGGCTCGCTGCTTTTCTGCTTCATTCCCCAGACTGCCAGCTCCCCACACTAAGATCCTCAGCGACCACCTTCTCTGCCCCAATCTATAGCGTCATTGGGCTCCCTTAACCGTGGTGCTAGTATTTTGACTTGAGAGCCAAAACTAAAGCCGAAATGCACTCAAGCTAATTTAAGAAGGGAAAGCTGTAAGAATTTAGGGCAATCTCAGAATCCAATCCAGGAAATACAAGGAGGCTTCTAAGAAACCACCTTGTTCAAAGTGTTACCTTCTAATTCACTCTCCACTCCATGAGGTTATAGGGTCTGTGGTGTCTGTGACTCTGTAGATGAGGTCTGTGCTCACTCAGCTGTAGTATGTGGGTTGGTAGGGAAATGCTGACCTCTCAGAGACAGACTCTTAAACAATAACCGCTTCTAGGACCCACATTCAGTCCTTATAGTTTTTACATAAAAGATGGCCTGATGGTAGCCAGAGCTCACTATCTATCATGTGCTTACAGACAGCTTGTAAAAGAGTAATTCCAGTTAAACTCTTTAATCTTGGAAAACAGTTGCCTATAGAATTTTCCAGTGCTTTAATGGAGTCATTGATTCATACAGTTGTAGGAGTCTTAACCATGCTTCTCTGAGTTCCTAAATATAGGATCAATAGATATTGATTCTCTGCTGATTGTTAGATGCTTATTAAGAATTTAATGTCCCAGTCCACTGTCCGCAGCGGTTTACACAGATGATACCCTCTAACCCTCATAACCCTATCATGTGTGCAGGCTCTGTCAGTGCAGGAGTCAGACTCCAAATCCTATAAACTACTTTGCTATAGGTTTTAGGTTTTATTATCTAGTTTTACATCAACACTGTGTAGTTAGTGTTATTATGAATATAGTCTTTGGTTCCACTTGCTATTTATTGCTATCTGTTAAGGGTTTAGCACAAGCATAGAGGTTACAAATATGAATAAGACCTAATCTTGACATTCATAAAGTCTAATAGAAGAGCAAACCACAAGGTGCAGTTCCAGTATAACAAGCATAAAGAAAAGGGGTACCTCACAGGCGAGGAGGTATCAGGTCTCTTTTTCTGGAGGAACTGAGACTTAAAGACCCAAGTAAGAGAAGGAGGTTCATCAGAGCTGAATTAACTTATGATACCAATTAAGAGAGGTCAGAGGTAAAATGCAGGTGGCAATAAGCTACAGATCATAACACTGTAGACCATGGAAGTTTAAATTTCATCCTAAAGGCTCAATCAAAGCTCTTTTTTTTAGATGTAACATAGTCCCACTTAAATTAGCTCAAGAGAAAAGTGAAACAAGGTGGTGGGTGGAAGGTTGATCATAATGGATCCAGGAAAATCACCCACATCCAAGAACAGGAGCACAGCTGGTCTCAAAGGGGCCTCCAAGAATAAGAAAGCTCTCAGGAACACAGATACCCACCTCTCTAGTCTTACCTCTGCCTTTCTATTTAACACTCCTAGCTTCCATGTTCCAGTTGTACATTGCTTCAGTTCCAGCAACCAGCCTAGGACTAGCATTTCTCCACCTCAACTCCAAGGGCTTTGTCCACCTCTGCCTGGGCAAGTAATGTCAACTGATAAAATCATGGCTGCTCTGACCCATTCATGTGGAATGGGGTTCTTTTAGAGCAAGAAGTTTAGGATGCGAGGATGTCTCCCAAATGCTCTTCTAATAGAAACTATTGCATGATTTTGAGTAGGCAGTTACTTGCTTTCAAAATGAAAACTGGTGGCATTGTGGAGACCAGATTGGACAGACAAGCAAAGGTTTTAGTGATTCAAGTAAGAATAATGCAGCTACACTGACTCTTTAAGAGCTCTTACATTGTTCAGTAAGTTGGGTATCAAAGAGAAAAGAAATGTGGAGTCAGGGTTTCCAGGATCACCTCTTAAGCTGGCACATTAATATTTTATCAGAGACCCTTTCTGGTGTTTTGCAGTTCATGCTGTATTTGGTCAAGAGACTGAAGACTTCCTGAGAATTACTTTCTCCCATCTGACCTGCTAAGTCTTTTTATTATTTAAGAAATACGAGTTATGTTCAAGAACTTTCTCAGCCTGATGGCACTTCCTAGAATGTCAAACAAATACTGCCTTAGGCAACCATATTCATGGATTATCAGGAACATAAACTATTCCTACCAAGAATGCATCACCTTACTGGAGTCAGGACTGTTCTCAACCACAGAACCTTGAATGCACTGGTGCTCTTTGCTTATTACAGTAGAACACCATGTTTAAAGAAGACAGCTGGGCACAAACTGATGGAGAAATCCCTCACATTATGGCCAAGTTTGGGAGTTTCTCCACTAACAGTTACAGGGCATTCAAATTTATATTGCTCACAGGCAAAAGTCACGTCATTGATTCTGTCTCCATGGATACTGCACTGAAGTTTTGTGCTGAGGACTCAGTACTAGTAGCAGTTACTACCTGCAGGCTACCTACTAAGCACAAGTTGCTTTACAGAGCACTTTCAATCCTTGGAACATTAATAATGTTAAGATATTATTATTTTACAAATG